TCTTCGTATGATTTCCGCGCCTTCGACGCCGACATCGTCCACAGTGGCGATCTTCCTGACCTCTTCGCCGTGCGCGAATCGCCCTGGGGTGCGAACGAGTTCCCGCCCTCTTCGCTGGTCGGCGACGGTGCCGCCAACCACAACGCGACCGCGATGGGTAGCAACGGATACGCATCCATCCAGTCTACGGAGCACGATCAGCGCGGTCCTGGACAGTTTGCGCAGTTGCCCTTGGACATACTTGAAGGTGCGCGTTTCAATCACAGTCTGCCGTGCAACGCACCGACATGGACGCACGATAGGCGGCGTCTCGCTGGATCCCATGTACACCGGTGGCCCGATGGCACAGGACTCTCTCCTGTCTACGGTGCAGGGTCAGTATGGTCCTAGTCTGTTTGCGCATCTGCCCTTCAATATGTTTGAAGGTACGCGTCCCCTTTACAGTCTGCCGTGCGGCGCGCTGATGTGGGTGCATGACAGGCGGTGGCTCGCTGGGACCTGTTGACACTGGTGGCCCGATGGCGCAGGATCTTTACAGCACGAACGCGCAATATCCTGTCGGCTTGGACGTTCCGGCCGCAGACTTCACGGCACAGCTGGGCTTATGGGACATGCCACTGTTACCACCGCCTGCAGCGACTACCGACGCAGGAATTTTGGAGGGCCTCGACGATAACCCAGGGTCGTCCCTCACCGGCGCAGGTGTGGCGCCACAAGGTATGCTCTGTCATTTCCATCGGGGTAATTTGTGGAACCTGACCACATCCATCCAGGTGGCGTCCATCGTCACAACACTCGTTCGCAGAGGCGCAACGAACCGTATCCCATGAACCAGGCTGCCGCCTCCGGCGCAGACCTGACACACAACAACACGATATCGACCGGCGCCGCTCGTAAGGGAGGTGCCCGGTCGACCGGCGCAGGCAGAACCAAGCTGTCGCGCCCCAGAACGGAGACGGAGACGGAGGAGTCGGGCGGGAAGACCAAGAAGCGCAGGGGGCCCGAGGCTGAACACATCCGGACGTGCAAGGTCGAAGGCTGCGTGCCTAAGCAGAAGACCAAGGCGGGGAAGAACAAGGCGGGCGAGCATATCTTCGCGACGAAGTCCTCCCTTGTTCGCCATATAGGGAGGGAGCACCAGAAGACGGAGGTCCAGTGCCCTCGATGCGGGAAGGTCGTTTCGCGTAAAGACTCCTTCAAGAGACATTGGAAGAGGTTTCACGATGTCCCCGGTAAGAAGCCTATGTTCAGAGACGACGAGTACGAGGAAGACGAGGAGGACGAAGAGGAAGATGGCCCGCCCGATGCGATGCCTTCTGGCATCCACAAGCGCCGCGACGAGGAGGACGATCAAGACTTCGGCGGAAAGGGTGGGATGGGATTGGGGCAGTGGTCGATGGGCGAAGGGATTCACGCCTACTAGGTGTGCCCGGAGCGTACGACGGGAGGTGAGCTGGGGAAAGCGCGTCAGTTAAATGAAGCCAAAGAAGGGACTGTACGCGGACCGATTTGATTCCATATTTTCGTCTTTGTAACTTGCTACGCCGAATGAAACATGCGATTTGTTGTATTTCCGGTGGATCAAGGTGTCGGAGCACGATCTCAACGAGTCGAAGCGTCCGATGGTCCAAGCGCATATACGCAAGTCGATGCTTGGGCGTTATCGGGGTGCGCCGGCGCTTAGCGATCGAGGCTTGAGGAGTTTGAACACTACCACCAGCTATTTCGCTGACAGGTTGACAGATGTTGTGTATTCAGTGGGCGCCAGATATTGGTATATGTGCAATATGACGAGCGCGATGAGTGGTGAAGGGGGGGTGATCGAGTATCCTGGGGAAGAAAGGAGCGCCGTCTACGTGTCAATCACTAACACAAGTGCCACACCTAGGTCTCGCCACTACAGCAGATCGAGTGTCCACAGTAGCATATCCGTACTCACAGGGTGAGCGAAACAGTCTTAAAGCGCACGATAGTAACCACTGCCGAGTGGGCAGCCGAGCTCATGGTGGTTGCGACGAGCCCGTCTTTCCGAGTACTATCCTTTACCTGGCGGTTCCCTCACGCGCGGCGGCGCTGATTGCCGTGTTACTGTGCACGAGATACGGGCATCACTACTGTCATACAGACTACCTCAAATGTTACTCTGGCTATAGACCACCACCAAGCGCACAAAGGATGATGTCCATCATGACACTTCTGAGTCGACGAGTCCGCGCTTTCCTAGGGTAGTGGCACCCGAAGTCGCGACCATCCACGGCGATCCACCCGCCAAGAATGTACTTTTTGGCTCATACGCATTTGAATTGGCTCGTCGAGCCGAGATTGAGAGAATTTTCGCATCAGTTTTACGCGATGCCGACAGAACGACGATCAGCGCGCGGCGCGCACCGACGTCAAGTCACGAGGGCGTTCGCCGCCTTGTCCTCCTCATCGAGGCGATCTTGTCTTGTCTCTGCGAGTACTCCAGTCGATGGCCACGTCTACTTAGTGAACAGAGCGGAGCAGAATGTCCTCCAGGCGAGATCATCGTTTTCGGATTCCCGATCATCACCCTTTGATTGACAGGTGCTCGCGTGCATGCACATGAGGCGATGACAAGACGAGTATGCACTCTCACTGCAGTGTATACAAGGCGTGACTATGGTGGATAAAATTAATATTGAGGTATGACAATTCATAAAACCAAGTACAGGCATAGACATATGTATGCGCAACGTAAGATGTCAATGCTAGAGAGCATAGTCGGGCTGAAGGTATCGGGCACTGTTACCGGGTTTTTCCTGATATATTTTATGGAGGAGCTGATTGGACTCGTTTCACTAGTCGGGCGCGTACAACGAGTTTGTATACAAGAGCTGATAGTAGAGATGTCGTCGAATGAGCCTGAGCTCAATCTCATGGGTTTAGACAACCCAGTTCAGGGGTTATGCGGGTCATATGCCAATGATGGTATCCCCGTGATGTAGCTACTGGGATGTGAGAGCAAAGTGTACTGATATAGCACAGATACGGGAACGAGGTGGGTGTTGGAGACAAAGGCGAGGGGAGGTCGCGGCGGCGCGAGTCATGAGACGACGTGTGCCGCAGACTGCGCGTGTGACAAAAACGACCGGCTCTTGTCCTCTCCCGTCATCGTCTCGCTCGACAGCGAGCTCCCCATCCTCATCGTTGTACCCCACGCTCCGCACGACATCCCATCCGACCAGCATTAATCTTGATTTAAAAAGGCTCTGATACTTGTTCTATATTTCATCTCTCCTTTCTCGTGTATCGGTCAGCACTTGTCCTTTAACCCCTGCTTCGCGGACATCTGGACTGAAGCGACGATCAGCCATGCCATCTGCCATCGTATCCTCATCCATCGTTCGTGACTCTCCGCCACACAAGTCCAAGAAACTCGCTGGTCGCCGAGCACTCGGCCGACGTGCCCGAGGACGGAACGGACAGCTGTCAGACGACGAGATCGAGCGGGCCGCTCAGACCGACTCTGACACTGAGAGTGACAGCTCGTCGCTCGAGTCGGCGTCGGACAGCGAGACCGAGCCTGCCAGCGAGGATGCGCCGCCTGCACCGGCACCTGCCGTGCTGGCCGGCCCGGTGGACTGGGCAGACGAGGTCGGCGCAGGCGACGAGGAGCTGCCCGTGCTCGACTTTGCAGACATGGATCGTGCCGCACGGTCGGCAACCCAGCCTAAGCGCCCGCAGCCACGCAAGGCAGTCAAGCAGCAGGCGCCGGCTATGACGCGGACCGTGTCGGCCCCTGCGACCACACGCTCGCCAGCACCTCCTGCTCCTGAGCTGTCACCAGCACCGGAAGAAGCCGAGCAGGTGGAGGAGACCGGCCAGGAGTCTCAATCGACGGCCGATCGTAGGCTACCCGGTGTGACCGCTCGTCAGGCGTACCAAGAAAAGCTTGAGAGTGACCCCGCTTTCATCCCTCGTGTCGGCGGATTTTGGGGCCACGATGACCGTTTACTCGACAAGGATCTACGCAGCCTGAGCAACTGGTGGCGCGGTCGCTGGCAGGGCAACCCCAGGGGCCGTGGCGGATTCCGAGGGCGGGGCGGCTTCTTCGGTAATGGGCACCAATACGAAGATGGCACCCAAGAAGAGGAATTGCCGCCCATCGAGCGCCAATGGACGCACGACGGCTTCGAAGAGATGAAGCGTCGCGACGAGCAGCGCAATCAGACTCGTGGCGGCTTCCGTGGCGGCAGAGGCGGCTTCGTTGGCGCTCGCGGCGGGCGAGGTGGGTTTACCTCGCGTGGCGGTAGCATGGCAGGCGCCCACCAAGGCCGCCAGGCACCTTCATCTTCACCCGAAGACAAGGGACCGTGGTATAAACAGAAGCCGGAGCGCATGTGGACTAAGAACCAGGAAAGCGTGTTGTACTCGGATCCCGCTCTCAAGCCTCGTGCGGGCCAGGGTCCTGCTTTCCGCGTAAAGCTCTCTGGAAAGGACACGCTTGAGATCGTGCGCACTCCTCCAACCGCCATGCCACCCATCACTTCTGCGCCCGATCCATCTTCCGCATCCAGTAGCGCTGGCGGTCCCGTTCCGGTCGTGCGACTTCCTCGCATGGCTAAGCGCGCGGCTGACAAAGCAGAGCCTGCACCCGCTGTTTCGCCTGTTGTACCTGCTATCTCGCCTCAGCCGACCATCGACAGCTCGAACGATGAAGCCTTCAGGATTACGCAGCCACCACCGCCGACTGTCATTCCTATGCCCGACAACATGCCACCACCAGGCCTGCCACCGCCAGGCTTGGCGCCGCTCGATATGCCACCACCACCAGATGCCTCAGCTGCCGCACCTCCAGCCGATAGCGCTCTGTGGAATCCCTCCGTACCCGCTCCAGCGCCTATGCCTGAGCAACCTGTAACCGGCGCCGACCAACAACAGCCGATGTACGGTCAGCCGCCAATGCCCGTGCCCTCGCCCACTTATCCACCATACGGCTACGCACCACAGCTGCCACCAGGCATTGCGCTTTCGCCGCAGGGATTCCCCTACGAAGTTGCAACCGGTCGCGCAGTGTACCTCCCGCCACCACCTCAGCCGATGTACGCTCCTCCGCCATTCGTACCCGGGCACATGCACCACCCGTCGTATGGGCATGCGCACCACCCAAGCCACGGCCACAGTCACTCAATGAGCATGGGTGGCATCCCCGCTCCTGGAACGCCTACGCTTCAGGATATCTTTACGCCCGCTCGACCGCGCGGACGTATCGAAATTCGCAAGCCGGATGGCTCTTCTGCTTCTACCGCTGCACCCGCGCCCGCTTCAGCGCCCGCATCCGAGCCTCAGCCCGACGCTGCAACATCGCCCGAGTCCGAGCAGCCTCAGCCTCAGGAGCAAGCCGCAGGTCCGCGCGAGTTCTTCCCGCCCGGCAGTGAAGAGCCCAGCACGATGGCCACGCAAGCTGGTGGCATGGTGTTCTACCATCATCCTCAGCCTCAGCCGTACTACTACCCTCCACCGCACGAGTACGCACAGCAGGCGATGTACCCGCATCCAGGGATGGAGTATGGCGGGTATGCGCCGCCGCCTCACGGACCGCAGGGAACTGTGTACTATTAGTCGCGGCTTTTGTCTGTCGGTTAATGACCGTTTGCGTCTTGTCTTCTGTCGAGTTCTCATTTCTTGCATCTTTTGCTCGCTTGCTTCGTCTTGTTCTAGTCCTATTCCCTAAGATAACCATGCCCATGTTCCCCATCGCCCCCCACACCAATCCCCTCACGACCCCACGACCCATGTTCTTGCCTCTCCCTCTGCTTCTCTCGACTTGATTCTTGGCCCATAATCCCCATCCCCATCACCCCAAACAGAGATTACAGAACATTACAACTACACTTGCAATCGCCCATCGCCCCGCTGTACATACAACCAGTCTCCCTCGTCTACATACGTCTCGTTCTGTCTCAAACCCGATGCCTGCCTGCACCATCTCCCTTTTCCTGTTATTCGTCTATCGCGTCATGCTTGCATGCTCCTTTCCTTTTGGTATATTGATTCTCTATCGCGCTTGTCGAGTACGCAGTATCTGGAATCCGGCAACGCAGTTGTTTTTTTGGTCGTTCCAACGTTCAACGAGGTGTGACGGTAGTCTCCCGTAGTCAGACTCATGTCGCACTGTAGTCTCCCGTAGTCAGACTCATGTCGCACTGCTCCATTTGTGACGGTGCGGTTCTGGTGTGACTTTACGCGTTGTAGCGTCGGATGAGGGATGCGATTGGGTTTGCACTCAAGCCGCGTTTGGAGGTACTACTGTGAAGTTCAGAGTCGTGTACAATTTTGTTCATTGAGAGGTACGTGACTATTAGTCTACCGAGCGTGGAGACTGTCGGTCTAGACCTGCTTCAGTCCAAAACTCTCTACTCTCCCATCCCCAGGCAAGACACAACATCTGCCTTGAAGCATCCAATATAAACCGGACATACCCAGCGAATACGATGCTTCACCTTAATATCTCAAGTCAATCAACATGCTAGACATGCCCGTACCCATCTCGCCCTTCGACGTCCCTCTCACCCCCATCCTCGACATCACGTCTCCCCGCCCTCCCTCATCTGACTCAACGCCGTCGATCTCTACTATTATCAACCATGCTCACCCTGAGCCGTGGCCTATGCCGCCTATCACGCGCCCGGGAGCGCTCAGAGTCGACTGCGGAGAACAGTCCTCGAAGGTCAAGCTCGGCGAAGGAGACGAAATAGCGCCGCGTGAGATGCTTGGTCTTCCTCCTGTGCGTACAAGCGCGCCAGGCCCAATCGTCAGCCTTTCGTCCGACACGATGTCGCCGCCCGTCCTCAGACGCGCTCAGTCGTTCCATTTCGTCGACGAGGAGAATAAGCCCCACACGCTGCGTCGTCGGCGTGGACAGATGTTCGGAAGCGAGAGTACGAGCGAGGAGCCCGAGCCTCGCGCACATCATGCGAGACCTGTCGGAGGTGTTGATGCAAAGGAGCTGATGAAGCTGTTGAAGATCAAGATTCCTGAGAGGGAGGTGCGGACTCCGGGAGGTGGCGGGTCAGAGGAGGGGATGAAGATGTTGAGGAGGACCGTAGAGCAAAATGAGTTTGTGAGTTGTTTGCGTTCCATCTGGCTGTCGGGTGAGCTGACGAGGATTCGTACAGGATATACAGTTCTTGGGCAGCGTAATCATTCTGCTGTGCGTATTGCTCGCCGGACTGGTTGCGCTGCTTGCGGCGGAAGCATAGTCCAATTCGGTGTGCGAGACTAGACTCTCCCTATCATACAATCATGTAGACTGCTTTTCATGTACCTCTTGCCAAGACCCACTCGACCTCTTTATATGCGCTGCGCACAAAGCATGATGTCGTGGTCCAAGGTCCATTGTGGGCGCACGAACTCGGCGGGACCGATAAGAACATCGGATCAAAAGTCCAACAGTCTCGATGCTCACCTGCGGCGCACCGAAGGGCTCCCGTCCCAGCCTATAGCCGAAGCCAGATTGACGTGAGGCCGTGGAGATGCGGGATATGCTCGATGGCAGCGAGCGTAGAGAGTTACAGAAGGAGTTAGATGTGGGTTGTTGGTGGCAGGTCGAGAGTTGACGAGGCCGCGAGCTGTCGCCCTCGGTCAACGCTCGGTCGCCGCAGTTGTGATCGGCGAAGTGACGCCGAAGTCCGTTGTCTCACAGGCCTATTCCTCCACCCTGCTCTTAGCCCCCATCTCACTCAATTTACACGGAGTGATACGCGTGTAAACTCAATTCCGCGAATCTTACATGACGACCCAGGCACTCTACATGTACATAGTTTGCGAAGCTGTGGTGCCCGTATGCAAAGAAGCTCCTGAGTTACACCCTTATCTCTGCGTCTGCGCCATCAGTTCCCGGGGCGCGCGCTTCCTCCACCAAGCACGGACTCATTTTTGATCCATTCAGTATGCGGCCTATTTATCTTCGGACACGGCTAGATATGTGGCGCGCTTCTTGCCTCCCCCTCCCACCCTCTCGTCATGTCCCAGACGATCAACGAGCAGCCCACAGCGACGAGCGAGCCCGTCGCGTCTTCCTCGGGCGTCGCGGCTAAGCTCAGACATGGTGCGGCGCGGATAGGGCGTAAAGTGACGACGCGCCATGGTTGGTTTGGGGACTACGACTATGCTTGGTTATGTACGCCTACGCTGCCGAGCTATACGCGGGCGGCGCGCACGCGTCGGCCTCCGCCGTTCTACGCGCTCGAAGCCGACATGCCGTTGCTACTCGCCATTGGATGTGGATTACAACATGCGCTGGCTATGCTGGCTGGACTCATCACACCACCTATCATCTTTGCGGGCTCTTTGAGTCTGGACGCGTCGACTTCCGCGTACATGATTTCAGCGTCACTCATTGGCTGTGGTGCGTACTGTACACGGTCATCACGGCGGATCTTGTGCTGAGATGAAACCCAGCGCTGCTGAGTTTGTTACAAATGTCGAGAATACGGATATGGAAAACGAATTACTTCATTGGGACTGGGCTACTCTCCGTTGTTGGAACAAGTTTTGCTACATTAAGCACGGCGTCTTCGGTACGCCATCGCCGCACGCTGCGCAAATTGAACAGGCAACTGATATCGCCACAGATCTTCAATGCGATGTACGCAGACGGGACATGTCCGACTATCACTGCTGCAGACGGAACGACGAGTCGCGGTCCTTGTCCTGACGCGTACGGAATGGTGCTCGGTGAGTGCATTATGCCCTTGTTATGCGATGAACTCTCTCTGACGCATCTACAGGGACGTCTTTGGTGGCCTCTTTCCTGGAGATGTTTCTCTCGTTTGTTCCACCTCGCATTCTCAAGCGCATCTTCCCTCCAATGGTCACCGGTGAGCGTGCTGCATACCTCTACGCGACTCGAGTTCTCAACAATACTACTCAGGTACGGTTATTGTGATGATCGGCATGTCCCTCATTGGCTCGTCTGGAATGTTGAACTGGGGAGGAGGCTCAAACGGATGCGAAGCGCGTCCGGCTACTGGCATCTACCAGCTCTGTCCGACCATCGACGCTCCCAGACCTCTCCTGTACGTGGCTTTATGAATGACTACGGCTACCGATAAGCTGACGCGGGCGCTGTAGTTGGGGTTCTCCCGAGTTCATCGGCCTTGGCTTCCTGTCATTCATCTCTATCGTCCTGACAGAGCTCTTCGGATCGCCGTTCTTGAAGAACATCTCAATTATCGTCGGTCTCGTTGTCGGGTGCATCGTATCGGGAGCGGCAGGCTATATCGACGGCAGCAGCATCAAGAGCGCGCCGGCCATCACCTTCCTATGGGTGCATACCTTCAAGATTGGCGTGTATGGCCCGGCAGTTCTGCCTATGCTCGCAGTCTACAGTATGTACAGTCATTTGTCCTACCGTGCGCTCGACTCAACTATCGATAGTCTCGCTGATGATGGAGGCCACTGGTGACATCACTGCATCCGCTGAGGTATCTCGTGTAGCGGTGGAAGGCGAGGAGTTCGAGAGCCGCATTCAAGGAGGACTGCTGAGCGACGGACTCGGCGGGTTCTTCTCCGCACTGTTCACGGTCGCACCCTTATCCGTCTTCGCGCAGGTGCGTTATCTCGCTCTGCGCCTGCCTTAGACGCTCATGCCTCGTTTAGAACAACGGTGTCATCGCCATCACCCGATGCGCAAACCGTCAAGCGGGACGCTGGTGCTGCGCCTTTCTCCTTCTCTTCGGCATCATCGGCAAGATTTCGGGGGTCTTCCTCGCCATCCCCAACTCTGTGCTTGGAGGCGTTACGACCTTCCTCTTTGCAAGTGTCGTAGTCTCTGGCGTGCGCGTCCTCTCATACCTCCGCTTCACCCGTCGCGATCGCTTTATACTTGCAGCAGCCTTCTCGTTCGGCGTTGGAGATCTGCTTGTGCCGGATATCTTCACGCATCTGTTTGACGACGTCAGTGCGAACAAGGGGCTGCAAGGCTTCCTCAACTCTATCTCGATTATCCTGACAACACCTTGTACGTATACTAACCTCATCTTCTACGACTGACACTGACCTTCTTTCCAGTTTTGATATCTGGTCTTGTAGCTGTTGTGTTGAATCTCATCTTGCCGGAGGAGAGCATACTTGAGATGGCAGAGTCGGATGGCGAGGACGAGGACGTCGTCGCGGTTGAGGAGCAATCGGATCACAAGGGGTCATCTCATTCGACTGAGAAGCATTGAAGGGTATATCCCTTGCCATAGTACTTCCTAGATATTCGCTCAATAGAGCATGCTTCCAATACATATCTTCACGGTTACATTCATCATCGACGTTCGCGCCCAGTCACAAGTTCGCCCAGTCACAAGCTCTCCGAGGGCGATAACTCGGACGTAGCGTAGTATATTGTCGTTGCCCGTGATGCTATACAGAACCTAATGATACAGTGTCGTGCTCGAGAAAAAAGATATGGGTATCGAGAGCGCGTTAGACCGTGGGTACTACCTCGATCTGCTCGTCCTGAATCTTCTTGATGTCGTCAGGCGCCTCCGACTTGATCTCATCTGCAGTAACGACTTTGTCGCCGAAGGACTCTGCAATGGCTTCGAGGCTGCGACCCTTCGTCTCGGGGAAGTACAGGTACACGAAGAGTGCGAAGATGGTCGTAGTGGCAGCGAAGACGTCTGCGAGCAGATGTGTCAGGACCGACAAGTTGTGGACACATGTGCTACGAGACGTACAGTAGTAGTTTTCTTTGATGTTCGCGAACGCAGTCGGACCTGCTTCGGTGACACCGATATTGAAGATGAAGTGTGTTGCTGCTGCCCAGCCCATGACGGTACTGCGAAGGGAAACGGGCAGGACCTCCACGCCGTAGAGCCACGTCGTTGAGTTGACGCCAAGATCTAGGAGGGGTATGAGCACGCTTGTACGAGAGTAATGGTCAGAATGCGCTTACAGTAGGTGAACGTGTAGAGGTAAAGCCCGAGGATGGAGAAGCCCTTTCCGACTTTGTTGTCGCCGACGTTGAAGAAGTGCCCCATGACGGCCGAGTAGATGAGGATGCCGACAATGGCGGGAAGCGCAATCTTGAGCATGGTGACGCGTCCAACCTTGTCGACAAAGCGGATCTGTAGACCGGGCTGAGCATACAAACACAACTTGACTAGACACCAACCCACGGAAATCCCGTTCGCGATGAAGCCCACAGTACCATAGATGGCGGACATAAGCAGAATGGTCTGTCCCTTGATGCCAAACGCCTGATATAGCGTCGTTTGATCTGTGCAGCGGTCAATTATGATCATGTAAAGAACGATACTGGTGCGCACAGTACGCGATGACATTCACGCCCGTCAGCGAAGTCATTGCCTGAACAACAATGGAAACGAAGACGCGTTTCCGGTAGCGTGCCCACGCCTCCCCGAGAGTCTTGACCTCATGACGCTGCTCGTACAGGACTTGCTCGCGCATGTCTTCAAACTCGTGGCGGGTCTCGGGCTACGGGAGCCGACTATGAATACAACGCGCAGTAGAGTATAAACTACGTGGACGCACTGAGGCTGAACCCATGATCTTAGCGAACATCCGGTATGCGAGTTCGTCCTGGCCGTTGCGGATGAGCCAGCGAGGCGATTCAGGGAGGAAGGTGAAGAGGCCGATGAGGAGGATAACGCCGGGTGGAATCTGTAGAGCCAAAGGGAAGCGCCATTGGAATTGACCGTATGACGGATAGCCGCAGAGGTATCCGACCCAGTTTGCTAAAGTGAGCACCTGTTTCAGCGTGTATCGATATGACAGACACGAGAGGTACATACCAGCGAAAGTGCCCGCGGCAATCATCAGACCCGACATGCCACCAATGAAGCCACGAATCTCGGGAGGAGCTGTGAGGGTCACTCAGACGCATGTCCACAATGTCAAGAGACGTGGATAACGCACAAATCTCGACATTGTACGTGGGAACAGTGCCAACAAGGGCACCGCTAGGAACTCGGTCTCAGTACGACGTCGCAGACAATCCTCGTTCGAAACACTCACACAGCGATACCGGTGAAGATACGGCCAGCGAGGAACATGCCAAAGTTTTGAGCGGCAGTTTGGATGACGGTACCAAGAGTCACCTTGAGAGTTGTGAGACAATGCGCATATGCTCAAGGGTGTAAGGCATACAACGAGACACATCAACGCCATGAAGCGCTTGCGACCAAGCTTGTCGCCAATCGCCGACTGAGTGAGTGCACCGACGGCTTCACCTGCAATGTAGGTGGCTACAATCTATAGAAAGTCAGAACGAGAAGGTCATGGGGTGGGTCTCGCGACGTACAGCGCCTGTCCATGCTGCGTTGGGGTGGTGCATGTCTACGAACCGTGTCGTCAGACTCGAGTGAGGAGAAGCCAGAAGCGCGGTCACGTACAATCCTTGAAGCTAGTATGGGCAATACTCTGCGCCGTCATGAGCTCCAGTGCAAACATAACACCGTTAGTAGAGGATACATACGGTCGTAATGATACCAGTGTCGTAACCGAATAAGAACTAGAAGTGTATCAGCGGAGACGCAAGCTGAAGCAGTTACTCAACATACCGAACCCAGACCGGCGAAGCAACTCAGAGCGACCGTGTAGAGACGCATAATGGGTGTGAAGGGCGTGTACACAGCAAATGGACGAGGAGCAAGCTCGACTTCTACCCCGCTTTTTCGCTCTCGCTCTTATAGCACACTACCTGGGGCCCCGCATATGGGCCATCAAGCTTTACGGCCAACGAGGGACTCAGGAACATCCCGTCGATTGCAATAAAGCTAATGCGAATGCGGACTCTGTGTGCGGACGTCGGAAGTGCAAACAGCTCGACGCGTGACGTGGGGGAGAACAAGATGCATCCTTGGCGAAATCATGCGGGGTAGCCGACATATCGCGCGGACCGGTCTTCCGGGCCGACCGAACCAGGCTCCCGCGACCCCTTCGGTTCTGAAAGTATCTAGCGGAAGGGCGATCTGGGAGAGTTATCTTAAGAGACGAGGCTGACTGAGCTTCTCGTACACGAACCCCACCTCCAGACCGACATGTCGCTCAACATCCCCCTTCGACAGACTCTCCAGGCCAAGGCGCGCGCGAGTGGCGCGTGGCTTACGCTACCGAGGTGCGTCTCGCGACTGCGGTTGTATGCGCGCGATCAAGTGAGTTGACCCGAACATCCAGCACGGCCATCGCACGCTCTCTTGCTCTGACCAAGGGCATCTCTTGGGTTCTCATTGACGCTGGTAGGCAATAGTACTCTGCAGTGAACACTGTACTGACTGCGGTATCTAGAACATGGCCTGATATCTGGTACTTTCGACTCCGTTGGCTCGCGAGCGCCGAACGCTAATCCTCGCAGATCCTCAGTACTATGACCTCGCCAACTCCATCTCTAGCGCTGGGGCGTCTCCCCTCATCCGTATTCCCGGCGATGAGGTGTGGCAGATCAAGGCAAGTCTTATTCTCTCTCCGATTTGTGTGTGTATCTCAACGGCGTGTATATAGCGCGCACTTGATTCTGGCGCGCATGGAATCATGATACCTATGGCAAACAGCGTAGAGATCGTACGCAAGGTAGTATCTGCTTGCAAGTACCCACCCAACGGTATTCGTGGGTTTGGGCCCATGTTCACGCACGCTACGAACGCCCTGGGGGCTTCATACAAGGCGGGTGCGGACAAGAATCTCGTCATCGCTGTGCAGATTGAGCACCCGGATTCCGTGCGGGATATTGAACAGATTGTCAAGGAGGACATCGATGTCGCCTTCGTGAGTCTTCTGTCTCCTGATACAGCGTGCGTACAGTTTCTCATCTATCTTTAGATCGGCCCTTTCGACTTGTCAATTGCGATGGGGGTCGAGTTTGGAAGCAAAGAGCATGAAGCCGCCATTCAGAAGATCTTGGATGCGTCGCACGCTGCCGGAAAGACAGCCGCTATCTTCTGTAAGCGCAATGATGCAAATCTTATCTGCATATGTCCTGACGCTGCCCAGGTCTCAATGGTGAACAGGCGGAGAAGCGATTCAAGCAAGGATTCGACATGGTCAGCGTCTCTACGGACATTGACACGCTCGTGGATGGCTTCGCAAAGCATCTCTCACAGGTCAACGGTGGACCTGATGGGGCGAGCTCTGGTTATAGCACGTAGATGTATCGTGATCCCAGATGTTTGACTTGTAATATAGTGTATCTGAACTCATTCAATGTGCTCAAGGGCGACGCACCGACACCTCCGGCAAGTTCTCCGTTCGCCACAACCTCGAGATGCTCATGTGCCACATCTGGATCTGCCTTGGCAGGGAGAAAGCGCTAACCAGGGCTCACCTTGTAGCGCTTAGGAACGTATATGTCGAGTTGGGGACAGCAACAAAGAGTAATCTGAGTGGCACCGCCGTACCGACCCGCAGCGCCAACGCCGCGGAGAGCTGTCGTCGAGGCGCCTGACGTGCGGTAGCGCGGCTGTATCTTGCCCGGATGCTCGTGATCTACGCTTGAGATCTTCAACCATCCCGCGGCCTGCGGAAGGAAAGCTACATGGCTCACGAAGTCTGCGCAGACAATGCACCCCGCATCGGCATATCCGAACAGTCCGCGCGGGGTTCCGATCTCCCCGCCGGGATCTTCTTCTTTCCCCGTGGGGTATGACAGGTACCCAAATTCGCCAAGCTGTACATGATCTACGAGCGCGGTACCAGGTACGCTCTCCCTGCACGGTGAGATTCACTGGCTTCCCCAATATCTTCGTAGACACAGTCTTGAACGTACTATGATCGTCAAGTATCAGTATAGAATGCTCGCATCCAGAGACCCTACACGTCCTACCGCCGAATTGTACACGAGAGAACACCAAACAACTGTCAGACCTCTGAACCGACCTGATCACGTCAAGCGGATCCAATAGGGACATCGTACTTGTAGAACCTGAATTGAAGGTTGCGAACGTCTCCGACGCCACAAAGCAATCGCCGGTTGAGCAAGGCAGGCGAAATAATGTCTTCTCGGCAGGAACTAGGATAAAGTTTGAAGCCCAAAAGATAGAGCAGGATTAGAGAGTGATGTATTGAAAATATGAAATCACAGAGATAGGGCGTGGACAATGGTATTACAAGATTCCGAGTTTCTTCATCGCATCTCCAATGGCGGTATCCAATCCGGAACGTTGCCCCACTCGAAGGACATCGCTTGAAACGCTGCTCTCACTGTTTCGGGCAGTAGCGAAGCGTAGTTCTGCGGGAGAAGGGCGTCGTATACGTCCGCGGTCCCGGCGGGCACCCCTTCGAAGTTGGGCCGTTTCGCTTTACTACTTGATGTTGAAGCAGCTGCAGCAGCGCGTTTGGGTGGTAATCCGGCTGTAGCACCGAAGACTGAACTACCGCCACCACCAAAGGCCGACGGCTGTGAGGCTTGACCAAAGACCGAGCTCGTCGACGGCTGACCAAACACAGAGCCGGTTGCCGGCTGTGCAGGTTGACCAGAGGAGGGCTGGCCAAACACAGACGAGGTCGAAGGCTGACCGAACGCACCAGTCGAGGACTGGCCGAAGGCCGAACCAGATGTTGATTTTGTGAAGGCGGAGGGCGCTGCCGCGTCTGCGACGGGCGCCGCCTGGCCGAATACGGAGCCGGTCGAGCTAGCAGGAGTAGCCTGGCCGAAGACGGACCCACCAGAGCCAGCAGGAGTTGATTGACCGAAGACCGAGCCACTCCCCGCCGCGGGCTGGCCGAACACCGACCCGGAGCCAGACGCAGCCTGCCCAAATGCCGATCCAGTATTGCTTGCTGGGGCACCGGCACCAAAGGCGGTGGGTTTGGCACTGGCAAAAGAGGCGAAGGCACCACCACCACCAGAGGTCGCGGGTGCCGGCGTACTAGCTGCAGCACCGAACGCCGACGGCTTTCCAAAGCCACTTTGCCCAAACGCAGATGCCGGCTGTGATGTTTGTCCAAAGGCTGATGTTGAGCCTCCTGAGGCTGGTTGTCCAAAAGCAGACGTCGTGGAGCCGCTCGCTGGCTGACCAAAAGCGGACGTTGCGCCACCAGCGGCAGGCTGACCGAATGCCGAAGGCGTGCTCCCCGAGGCAGGTTGTCCAAAGGCTGAAGTCGTGCCGGGTGCTGCTGTCTGACCGAAAGACGGTTGACCAAACGCAGATTGACCGAAAGCAGATGGCTTGGCGGCGGCGGCAGCGAAGGCCGAGGGTTGCGCTGTCTGTCCAAAGGCAGAACCAGACGCGGATTGAGACGGTTGTCCAAAGGCGGAAGGGGGCTGTTGCGCCGCCTGACCGAAGGCGGATGGGGTGGTGCCCGTTGCAGGTTTTCCGAAGGCGGAAGTCGTGCCACCAGCAGCAGGTTGGCCGAAGGCTGAGCCCCCAGAGGATTGCCCAAAGCCTGAGGATCCGAACGCGCCAGAGCCGCCTCCGCCACCAAACACTGAGGGTTTGCTGAAAGCTGTCTGAGCGAATGCAGAGGTCCCCGAATTCGTACCACCACCAAATGCACCACCACTATTGCCACCAAAGGCACTGGGAGTTGCGCCGAAAGCGGAGCCACCAAAAGCGGATTGTTTGGGCGCGTTGGGATCGAATGGTGTAGGGGGTACAACTGGCTCCTGTGTACCGCCGTTTGTGCTCTGCTTCTTTGCATGCTCGTACATGGCAGACTGGTTCTGGGCGAGCATAGAATAGACGTTGTTGCATTCGTTGATCTTGTCGTTTTCGTATTTGACCTGTAGTCGCAGGTTAGTATCTGCGCGAATGCATCGAGAAGAGAACCTGACATAGTCATTGACGGTGTTGTTGAGCTTCGCTTGTACGGCTTTCCATCGCAGCTCCTCGGGCGATTCATCCAGAGGTCGCGTGAGGTTTGGTTCGTGCTTTCCAGGACCAAAAGTAGTAAGCGGCCATAAAGGTTTGTCGCCATTCGGTGCAGGGGCTATATCCTTCGCGAGAATCTCAACGCTGTACTCGGGAGAATGATCAGACCGCTAACAAGGGGTAGAGCCACAGAGCGCACCTGAATGGTATAGATCCAACAGCTTTTCCACCTCCGGAGTTGGCTATAAAAATCATTATCCTGATTGTTAAATGAAGATAAACCGCACGTACTTCTACCAAAGACGGAGGGACCCTTGTCCGCAGGATGTTCATTCTTGCAGCTGCTCCCGAATTTGCATTGCCCTCGTAGGAAGAATTGACAGACCACCTGACTTACAATGAGGAATACCAGAAAGGCTAAGATTCAGCAGTAAGCGTACCATGCCTGTCTAACGATGGGAAGTGTGTACTTGGGTGAAGGTCGTGGTGGTTCCGGTCAACCAAGAAGGCGCGTCGCGACGCGCCACTCGCGAGTCAGGGGCTTTCGGCCGCGGAAGCAAGCGCTGACTAGGAACTTGTCTCCAATCCACCACGTCCATCTTCAGCGCCAGCTTCTGCTTTCGTCAATCCTAGTAATTGCTATCCGATGCTCTGCTCTGCTTTTTTGACTCGTTAGGATGTCTCTTGAGCGCCTTCCCAGCGCGACGCGAGCTAAACTGCGGTCCGCGCAACTGCTGACATCCGTGCCGCAAGCCGTCTCCGAACTATTGCAGAACGCGCTTGATGCCGGTGCTCGACACGTTGAAGTAGGCATTGACGCGTCAAAGTGGGAGTGCTGGGTACGCGATGATGGGGAAGGTATCTCACGCGATGGTCTCACTGCTATCAGTAGCGGACGCTACCGTACGTCCCGCCGAGCTTGCAGTTCGGGAACGCTCTGCCGACCTATGCGCAGATACGAATAAGGCGTATGAGCCAGCTTCACTCGACGAAATTTCGACCTTTGGCTTCCGTGGCGAGGGTAGGCTCAACCTCGTCCAATTCTAGTACCACGGCGCCCTCACATTGCCACAGCCCTTGCTTCGGCTGCAGATATCTCTTGCATAGAAATTGTCTCTCGTACGGCCCGTTCTCGCGAATGCAGGACCATAATAATGAAGGTAGGCCAAGTGCTCTGCTCGTGTCTCTACCATACTGAGATGTTCTGTAGAACTCTAAATGCCTCTTTGACGGACCCTCCTCCCGTTGGCGCAGGGAAAGACCCGGTACCGTTGTCTGTCTACGCGATATGTTTTATAATGTCGGTGCAAGACTTCACTAAACGTCGCAACGCTGATCAAGAGCCGTCAGCTGCCTATTCGTCGTACCTCACACCCAACGCCCGCCAAGACGCTGGAACTTATCCGGAAAGAAATCGAACTTTATGCCCTAGTCTTCCCTGAGGTTTCGTTCAACCTGGAGGATACGTCCCGTAGTCACGAAGGCTCATCTGGTGCTATGCGTCTTCTCAGTGTGCCTAGAACAAACTCAATGCTGAGTGCGTTTCGGGCCATACATGGGCGCGCACTCGCTGAGGTCAGTAGACGTTCCCTTCATTTAAGCCGCTGAGGATGTTTATGGGTCATCAGCGTGTGTATGAGATGAGCGAGACTTGCGGAGAAGTGACACTCTCGGGTTTCATCAGTCTCAGCGGCGCATTGTCCAAGGTATGTGAGGCAATCTGCCTCAATAAAGACGGTTGTGACTGATAGCCCCGATAGTCTCACCAGTATATATGTGAGCCAACGCTCGTTCTGTGCATGCTGCCGCCAATTCAATATGTCCATAGATGTCAATCGTCATCCTCTGACCCCCAATCAACTACACCATGCAATCAACAGCGAGCTCTCAAGGAGTACATTCGGTCGTTATGATCCCGCCGACGAAAATGATGTTCCTAGTCCGTCTCAAGCCGGTGAGTTATGACCAATCACTACATGATGTATATACACTCGTTTATACTCCCTAGTCTCTCGGCGCTCGCCTCGGAAAAGCGAGCGCAAGCCTGTCTACGTGCTCAATATATCGTTGCCGCCCAGCGAAGTCGACAATTGTGTCGAACCAGCGAAGACAGCGGTGCATCTCATGGTGCGTTATTACTGTGCCTGTGCATCTGAAAGCTGCTGAAGTGAGATCATAGAACGACGAGACAGTCACAGACTTCCTCATCTCTGTGGTCCGTGCTTTCCTGCTTCGGCACGGCTACGCTTTCAACCGAACAGAATCTCCGTCCCCCACTCCATCCCCGCGCAAGCGCCGTAGAATTGATCGGACACCATCACCATTGAAGCGAGCAACATCGTCCCACGCTGAATCCGATGCACTTCCCGAGCCACTATACGTGTATCCTGTAAGTGAAGCAGTCTTCCGAATATCGCTATACTCACGCGCAAATATCTAGGGACAAACCAGTGATGACAAGGTGCAATGGCGCGATCCGGTGACAGGCATAAGATACCTTGTTGACTCTCGTACTGGCAACTCTTATCCAGCCGACGATGTGCGACATGATGACGAAGATCCTGAAGAGAGAGCTCAACTTCGCAGACGGACACTGGCTCTGGATAAAGCCCGAGGATCCGTAGCTGATGACGGGACACCCGCTTGGCTCACCGAAGCGCTCAAAGCCAATGCCGCGTACAAATTGCCCGAACGACGCATCGCGGCAGTCCCGCCAGCCACTCAACCTCAGTCTCAAGTGCCCAAGCCGCACCTCCACTCGTGCGATACGCATACACATGCTCTCGACATGAAGTCGACGACTTTCGAACGGTCGGATCTCCTGCGCGCCCGCGTCTTGGCTCAAGTTGATCGCAAGTTTGTGCTACTCGCGCTTGGTGACGGCCCTGGGTCTACACTCGCACTGCTGGATCAGCACGCCGCGTCAGAACGCGTTCGAGTTGAACGGTTCTTGGGCGAACTGTGCGAGGGCAAGAGCGTTGAGCTGAGCGTACCGGTGCCGATCTTGCTTGCGTCGAACGAGGCCCGTGTGCTACGAGAGGCGCATGAGCTTCTGGCGCAATGGGGACTCGTACTCGAGTTACCACCAGAGACGGTGCCGAGCGTGGCGAAAGAGCGAGACGCCCATGACCAGGTGCTCGTATCGGCTGTTCCAGACGTCGTGAGCCGAAAGGTACTTCGCATCGTGTTTCTGTAGAGTCGACATCTGCTGACCGTCACACACAGCTTCTCATGCCAGGCGAACTGAGCAGCCTGCTGAAAAGCGTCGTTGCGGACCTCGAGTCGGGTGAACTGTCGCCCCCTAGCGTGTCACAAGCCCAGTCTCGCGATGAAGCGTTCGCGTGGAAGCGCGCGCTGCGATACTGTCCAAAGGGCCTCATCGACCTAGTGAACTCCCGAGCATGTCGAGGTTCGTGCCCTCCGTCTTCTGTATCTACGGACGCGAGGCAGCTGAACCGCTACAACCAGGTGCGATCATGTTCAACGACCCGCTTACGCCTACGCAATGCGAGCGCCTGGTCGGCCAACTCGCGCAAACGGCGTTCCCCTTCCAATGTGCGCATGGAAGGCCCGCTCTGGCCCCGCTCGCCCGTCTGGGGGATGTTCCGTCGCGTCGGCAGCAGCGCGGCGGGAGGATCGACTGGACTGTTTTTGCCAATGTAGTAGACGAGTAGATGCGCATATGCGCCTGACGCGATGCGGTTACTCTTCGGTAGTCTTGTTGGTGCCATGTACATACAGCCCGCTCCTCTCCAACACGCCTCTCGCAACTTTTACGCGTATCGTCGTCGTCATGCAGTGGCAATGACATGTATGGCATTATCGCCGGCTAATCGATGATGGAAAAGATCAATTCTAGGAGAACCGCGAGCGGCGTGGGCGTGGCGAAAGTGACGTCAGAGCTCGCGTGCGGCCGTATATGTGCAGCTGTCACGATCAGCGACTCCTTCACCTCTTCGCACCCAAATCAGCTCTTTAACTCGAACCACCACCACCACCAACTCACTCTACCAACCAACCACTACCGATCGCAATGGCTCCCGCTCTTACCAAGGTTATCTACCAGGCCGACAGTGGCACCAGCTTCATCGCCATGGTCAACGCACCAGAAGTGAGTTCTTCCATAGCGATACGCGTCCCAAGTACCCGATCTGACGACCTTTACTAGTTCGCGAAGTGGAAGGAGGGCGACAAGACGATCCCGCTCGTCGATGTTGTACAATGTACGCGACTCTCGTTGACCGCTTCGCCACCAACTACTGACGCGTCATTCCCATTACAGCCTTCCAGATCCTGTCCACACAGCAGGGCGCACAGGGTCTCCTCGGTACTGCATCAAAGCAGGACCTTGAGAACGAGTTTGGCACGTCGCGCGATGACGAGTGCATCTCGAAGATCCTCGAGAAGGGCAAGGCGGAGCACGCCGACGCGATCCGCAACAGCGACTGGGGATCCACGAACGACTCGAAGGGCTCGCACATTGACGTGCGCGGTTCTGGTCGGGGAACGACCGGTGCCGGTGGCCGTTGATCTTGTCGTCGCGTGTGTTGTTGGACTCGGTCGCAAATCGCAATGTTGAAATGTAATCGCATAACTGTATCATAGAATCCAAACGCAACACCATCATAATATTGCTCTATCTCTTGTACTGTTTGCATCGCGCCTACCTCATTCAAACCGTTGTCGTCGTGCGCGCCGTCATCGTCTTGCGTTCCACGTATTCGTCACAGTGACGTAGGTTGTTCACCCGCGGCTCCGCATCCTTGCGGGACGAGCCTGCTCTTATGACTCGCTGACCCTCTTCCGCAATCGCGTACGCGAGACTGGTCTGCACACAATCCATATATGTGTGTATGCCGCGCTCTGCATACGATCAGCGCGGGTGCGGGCGATATTCTGTGAGATGCTCTGAGCTAAGCCCAAGGTGAGTATATATTGTGGCAAGAGACAAACTCTTTCACGTCACTTTGCCGGAGTGGTTAACGGGATCGCCTGCTATTTCATAGCATCTCAGCGGTTGGGCTTTGCCCGCGAGTGTTCGAATCGCTCAGGTGACGTGTTTTTGCTGCGCCGCTCCATCTTAAGCGCCTTGTGTAGCGTACATTGGAAAAACGGATCTTGATCTGCGCCACCACGAGGATACTGTACTCATCTCATTCCCCCAGTGTGCGACGGACATATGCTAACGGCTATCTGTACGAAGTGCATGACCGGTGACCCTTCTTACCGCGGACTGAATATCAGAGTTTCATGACTGTCGTTTATGACGGAACAAACCGATCTCGCCGAGAGCCCGCTGCCCGAGGCGATAACTCAGGGCAAACCACCATCAACCTCTCCTGCACCCTAGGGCAGCGTATCTACGTCTTTAGCTGTCTATGATCAGATCTGTACCTCCAATGAGCGAGAAGATCCACCGTGTCTGGCTTGACTGTGATCCGGTATGCTTCGGACTGCCTTGCACCTGTATCTAGCGATGTATATGAACGCATGCTGAATAGGGCCACGACGATGTCACTGCCATCTTGCTTGCTCTGCATACGCCGAACATCGAGCTTCTGGGTGTATCTACTGTGCGTTCTTCCTTCACAGAACCCCACTCTATGCGCGGATCGCTGACTATCGCACGGATCACAAGGTTCACGGCAACGCCGACGCCGAGAATACAGCTCTCAACGCCGCACGCGCTCTCGTAGCCTTTGACGCGCCATCTCATCTCAAGACGTATGCAGGCGCTGCCAAACCTTTGCTACGAGCCGCGCTCTACGCACCTGAGATTCACGGTACGGACGGCCTGGGCGGCGTTGAAGGGCTTCCCTTACCGACGGCGCCCGACGTGCTCGCCAGAGTAGCGAAGGAGATACCCGCTCTTGAAGCCATGGCTAAGGCCGTTAGAGAAGCGGAAGGGCCGGTACACCTACTAGCCAGTGGACCGTTGACGAATATCGCGCTATTCGTGAGCGTATACCCAAGTCTGCTGAAGAAGATAGAAGCCATTGTGTTCATGGGTGGTGGGATTGGGATGGGGAACAAGTCGCCGGCGGCAGAGTTCAATATCCTATGCGATCGTGAGTTAACTCTTACTGTGTCTCTAGGACTTGAAGCTGACCGAATACATTCTAGCTGAAGCCGCTCAGATCGTACTGGATGCACCGGTGCCTAGCGTCATGCTCCCGCTCAACGTTACACACCAAGCCATAGTCAACCATGCAGTACAAGCTCGCCTACTGGATCCTTCCTCCCTCCTCGAGCAGCCCGTCCCACTTACACCTTTACGCCGCATGCTTTCGACGCTCATCAACTTCTTCGAAGAGACATACCGAGACGTATTCGGCTTCCTTGACGGACCTCCCTTGCACGATGCGCTCACCGTCGCGTTCGTCGCGCATCCGGAGCTGTTCAAGACGAAGCGGTATAGGGTAGATGTCGAACTTAGCAGCCCGTTAACAGCCGGAGAGACTGTTGCGGATATCTACGGGTACAGGAAGTGCGATGAGAGTTGGGGCTCGACAGGCCGGAACTGCCTGGTTGCAATGGAGCTAGACGTGAGTCTTGTGGTCGAGTACTGGGCTGAGGGCAACGTCTGACATGACGATGCACAGGCGCCCAAGTTCTTCGACTATTTCCTCCAAGCCGTCGCATCTTGCGACACCGTCTCGCCGTTGAATAGACCATAGACCCACACTGCGCACGGCCTACATTCCACAGCTTACACGTCAAACTAGATGTAGATCATTCATACCATAGAACACGCACACGCCATGCGGCATCTCACACAGTAAAGCAATAAGGCCTGTCCAAGCAAATGTTCATTTCCGTACGATGTACGCGGGGGCTCTGGGGTTCGTACAGTACATGAGCAAATCGTTCAAGATCCGTGAAGTGTTCGTCGGGCAGGAGCATTCGGAAGAGTATCAGTTATATGATGGTAGCAGCCAAAACGAGAGAAACCAAGTGAGGAGGAAGAGAGGTCAGGCATGCGGGTCGCACTGGGCGGCCGCGAAACTGATATTTGAAGCAGGGTTGGAATGGAGAGACAATAAACAAGGCAAGGAAGTGCGACCCGGGGCGGAGTCACCTATCGTACAAGGCCGTCGTCTCGCTGAAGAATAGCAATGGCGGTTCGGTTGATGGTGTGGGGGTGCTTGAAGCCACGTTTTCACCAGTAGATGTGACGTTCGACGGTGGGCACGCGCTTGGGGCGAGTGTACACCGTGCGGCGGACGCGCGTGACGGCGGGGTAGCTGCGAGAAGCAGCATTCATCAGCACGTACTCTGGTATGAAGCGCGCGAGGCAAACGCACTATGCGTGGTAGATCTCGTTCGGCTCGAACTGGACCTCAACGATCTGGCGGCCCTACGGAAGCAAACGCGTCTGTCTCAGCACTCGAACACGGAAGCATCCCACATTAAATCCAACACACCGCGTAGTCGATGTGCGAGCCGACAACAAGACCCTCGCGCTTGGCGTACGCGCCGTTGTTCACGGTCACGATGTCTCCAGGCTATGTCGACAGTTTCAACAAATGGTCACATGTCATCAAGGCGGGAGAATGACGCACGGTGATCTCTGCCTCGTACTGAACGGCTGGTGCGACGTAAGACATGGCTCTCAAGCTTTGGATTGGAGATGGAGGAAGGGAGGTAGCTCTTGCGTGGCTAGCTGGAGAGGGAAGGGAGCGCGGACGACGGCGGGTGGTGGGTCTGTACAAAAGATAGCATTTGCTTGTGCGAGGATTATGTACCTCGAAGCTCGTGGGAAAAATAAACGCCCAAGCCACGACTCTGCAATGCGGTCCTTACTCCGTCTCTCTCCGCTCATCTCCTCCGCGTTTGACACTCTCGTGGAAGATGCATGCTTTATGCATGTCCCCCCAGAAGTGGAAGGCTGTCCTTGTGCACGGGGAGGAAGGGACGAGAGGCGGGGCAGTCTGGTTGCGCCTCGGCGGATTACGTCGTGCGCGGGAAACGGAAAGCGGGAGATCACAACGTGCACTCCACGCGGAGCAATGAGGCACCGCGCAGAAGCTGTCAAATCCGGCCACAATGACGCCTTGTGGCCTCGTCGAGGCGCTCGCCGGGGGATACGAACATGATGTCTATATGTGGGCGTATGTACAGAGTAAGGGACAGGCGCTAGAGGCTACAGAGTGGGGTGATAGCAATAGAGATACAGTATGATACACAATCAAGGAAGGGTGAGGAGATCCCGGCCTCGAGGCAGAGGGCGTCTGATCCTGTCGGACAAGCATAAAACGCAGCCCCGCGACAAGGCCGCCTGCGAGGCACTACTGGTACTAGAGAGGCGCTTCACTGCCCAGCGCGCTTTGGCTCTTTGCGGAACCATCCCACTACAACATCCCAAAGGCCGATGTCTTCCTCACTGGCAGGTCCGCCGCCGCCGCCTCCTGCACTCTCGTCAGCCAATAGTCCTCGTCCACGGAAAGGGCTGGATGACGAGTGTGCGCGCTCAGCAAGTGTGGCCAGGATCTCTTCAGCGGCATCGTTGTATGCACGTTCGAGTTCGGTGCTCAAAATGTAGTACGGCCGGCGGACGACCGCAGGCGCCACACCGTTGTACTTCCTCACGAGCGCATTCAGCTCGTCAATAGCGACATTATGATAGCTCGCCTCGCGCGCTATCCAGTCAGCGTCACGGTATGCCCGGATATCGTCGAGGGTAAACCGCTCGAGGTCCTTCGGATGATGATGTAGTGGGAGCATACGAACTACTCGTCGGACCCACGACTGTCGTAGCAGGTCGCGATACGAAGAGAGCGCTATCTCAAGCTCGTTCTGCAGTTCGACCCATGGAGGTGCGGCCCCTTGCCGCTGTACGATGCGGTTCATGAGGAACTCTTCGCGGGGCAAGAAGGGGTTCCCTTCGTCCGCTGTTCGTTGGATGGGCTGACCTCGGCCCTTGACATTGTTGAAGTGACCAGCTTGGCGTGCTCGCTGTGCAGACACGTATGTCAGTCAAACTCCGAGGAAACGGATGCGACAAAGACACAAACCTCGATCCGATCCTCGACAAGCCCCACCCACCCCTTCACGGTAGTTGGATTCGCCCGTCCTCCGCCCGGCATCTTCCCTCTCAACCCAAGCTTATAGTCCAACGTACTCTCCCTCGCATTCCCCAACCTCTTCCCCACCTGTGCCCTCTTCGCTGTCTCCCTAACCTTCCTCCGTGTCTTGTCGTCCATCTCCTCTAGGCTTGGCTTCGTAGAGCGTGTCCGCTGGGAGGATTGTGGAGGGATAGCGCCGTATTTGATTGAGGAGGACGAGTGGCTGGGGACGACGTATGTCGTGTGCCAGGGTTTGTGACCTTCGATGGCTGGGAGGAGTGGTGTATCGGCTTTGTAGTACGGTGAGGGCTGGTATGCAGCTGTAGATGTAGCATATGCCGGCGCGCTCATAGAACGAGTAGCAGTAGTGATGATATCTTCGGCCAGAGCAGCCTCTTCGGCCTCAGATAAACCGAGTCCAGAGCCAGCATGTGAAGAAGCAACTTCAGGCGGATTCGAGCGTAGCTTCTCGTCGGCAGACCGTACAGGCCCAGAACGCAAGGGCTTGTACTTGTCGACGAGCATCCTGAGCACAGCGTCCTCCATCCTCTCATCTCCAGTCCAATTCTCCGCCTCTCTCAGCGCGTGAGGCAGCTTGGGTTCGCGCGGAGCCGGAGCAGACTCTTCGGCCTCCGCATCGGCGAAGAGCTTGGCTGAAGCGCTGTGATCGCGCGGAGCATTGCGCGGAGTGTATGACTTTGTAAAAGAGCGGTGTAGTATTCGAGAAGGACCGGCGACTGGTCTCAAGGACGTGGGCATGGTGGTTGAAGCTGAAATGTGAAGCCGAGCGCGTACCTCCGTCTCGATCTCGGCAGGAGTGGATCTCGGGATCAAAACGCGGTCACATGTGTTGTGTATGTTCGCTTGTACAAGCTACCAATCTACAGGCAAGCCCGTAGGTGTTAAAAGCGAGTGCGAACCGCGAGTAATAGTAAGATGACTAGAGAAGAGGTATACGATTAACTGGCCCTCTACATAGCAATGTGCGTGTATGATATATCGACAATCCGGCCTACTAGTTAGGCCCAATGAACTGATACAACACCCTCCTAACCAGCCCACTCAAGTGCTGCGGGTCGTTCTGATAGGTGCTCATGACCATCCCCATCCCGATGGCCGTCAGCAGTGCCTCACCGTACCGTGTCTTGTTCGGTACAAGACCCTGTCCCCTCGCGACCCGCCAGCCGCTCTCCAAGCCCTTCGGGAGAACATACATCGCCAGTTCTGGGCGACGGCGAGGGGCTTCGACGAGGAGGGAGAGACCTGAGAGGAAGCCGCCGAGGTAGTATGACGCGCGTGAACGGACGAGGCGCAGGAGCCAGATTGGGGCGCCGAGGTCTGCGAGAACACGGGACGTGTTGACCTTCGCGCAGAAGTAGGCTGCATGTATATTAGCGCACGTATCACGGGTATTAGTGGAGTGTACATACATTGGTATATGACGACGAAGATGCCGAGGAAAGCGCTCGACCGCGTCGTTCCCCAAGCAGCACGCAAGAATGTGCGCAATGGTGTCTTGACAGCAACCTTTGGCTTGAAGATCAAGGTCGGTAGTAGATGCAATGCGCCGTAAATGGGGAACATCCACCTGTGCACCGCGTCAGGTGAGCTCGGGTACATAGGACCGTGCTGGATACACTTACTTGAACACTGACACGAAGCGGTCCATAGGGACATCCGTGCAGTTCTCGACGCCGGGATGACTTGCGAGACACGGTGCATTGGGATAGCCCCAGATAGGCGGGTTTGCGGTTGCGAGCATATGCTTCACAGCGAGCTCAGTCGCGTTTCGTGGCGCAATGTACTAGAGCGCATTCAGTAATCGCTATACTGATAGGCGTGTGTCATGCCCTACAGGTGTTTCGAGGATGGTCTCGAGATCCTTGACGTTGAACTTGCCTGTCAACGCAAGATCGCGATTCATGGAGACCGTCTCTGGTGGAAGACGCGACGCCGTATCTATCCTAGAAGCTATTTAGTCCTACGCAGCACAAAAGTATGAATCACTGGCTTACCACTTGATGTACGACCGTGGTAACGTCTCTGGCCGTACGAGATACCCATACATGATCTGCGCGCACGCAAGCGAGAATACCAGTACATCTCCGTAAGGCACCCGGATGCCCTTCCGCTCCGAGTACGCGTTATACGAACCCTGTAATCCGCGCACAAACAGCTGTTGACTGATGATCGTCTGTCTCGACCGCTTCTCGAACAATACCGCAGCGCCACCGGCCACCGCACCAGCGATGACCGCATGCCATCGTCTTGTCTTCTTTCGCACCCATTGCTGATGTGCCTGCGCCGTCACACTTAGGCGAGCTTCTCGTGGTGGACGCGGTGGTCGAGGGAGGGGCTCGGCGAAGTGGGCATGTGTGCCGCGGCGGGAGACGGGCGAGACTTCTGGCGAGCTAGTAGGCGATTCCTCGATGTCCTCCAAAGCAGATTCGGCGTCTGCAATGCGGCGCTGTAGTGTACCCGCCCGTATAGCGGCGTAGAGCTGGGCGATCCGGGTGCTCAGGGGGATGTGCACGGGGAATATGATGGGGAATGCATTGAGAAGGATCCTGTATAGCGAGACAAAGCATCCTGTGAAGTACAGATCAGTCTGAATTCAATCTAACCATGCTTCTCTCCCTGTTCGGCTGTCCCATCTGTTGTGCCGATTAACCTTATGCCATCAATCATTCGAGAAGGCAGTTGGAGTGGTCATGACAGGTTGACAGCATGGAAGCAAAGAGAAGAAACCCTGGATGTGAAGGCAGAGAGTACTAACCCAGCATGGCGCCCGCACGGAAGGAGTCCTCGCCGAAGATTGCTCTTCGTATCACAGCAAGTACCTGGTCTCTGTTCGAAGTCAGCTCGACGCGCGTCATCACTATACAGGATGACGTACCGAGGTATTCTTCGTATCCTCACCAGCAGTAGGATGAGGTTCACGCCTGAGCGTATTGTGAACGCGATAGAGCCAGCACCTAAACATCGCTTGAATTGAGACAATATCTCAGCATGCACAGGTTCTGTACGCACGCAAGCCACCCCGCAAGCCATGCTCAATACACTCTCCCAAATCGCCAACCTCCACAGCCGGCTCCCCACGATCCCTCCAAACCATCTTCCTAGCCTCCCTCAGATGTTCCTCATAATTCGCAAGCGCAACCAAGTTCTCGAAGCTCGCCATGGCCCTGCGCGGCGTAAAGTTGATGTATGACGGCGCGCGTTTAGGTGGGGCCGGTTTGGGTGGCGGGCCCGCGGAGGGGGACGCCATGGCGAGGGGGACGTAATGGTGGGGGTAGAGGAAAGAAGGTCAAGTAGCTATATGGCGGTCGGTCGGATCGAAGTTACAGTGTGGGGTAAACTGCTACCGCCACGGCACGCTCGAATAATCACGTTCACGCGTCTGACCCGCGGCCTACCCCAACAAGTTGCACTATTCTGCCTATGGTTCGGTAGGCCGGTATGGTAGCGAATAACGCGCATCGCGCGAGGCAGTTTGGTCAGGTGTAAGATAATGAGGCGAGCGATGAGCGCTCTGAGCAAAGAGGTTGCCGGAGATTAGGTACAGACGCCGCGATCATCACAGTCGCTTCTATTTCGGGAAATACTGTTGGGCTTCTGAAGATCTGACATCGCGGGACTCTGTACAACTGTTGTTTCACAGGCATGGTTCACGCGGGTCATGAGGTCGGCAACGACGTATATTTTTCAGTTGGTCGTACAGAAAATGCACGCTCGTAAGGCTACAATAAGCAGAGAAGCACATGGTAGTACAAGCAGGCGCTGTGAAGAACAGGTGATCAGCATGCTGGTCAAACAACAGCAGACAGAGTACAGTTTCAGACGAGTATAATGATTCCGGATAGACGGTTATCCTCACAGATTTCTCCGTAGAGGGAGTCCTTTGCTCATCCAATGAATCCAAATGACAATGATTCTCACCTTAGCGGCTCTTGAAGTAGTCCTCAAGGACGTGGCGGCCCTCGCTCTCCGAGCCGTACTCCTTGACGACAACGCACGAGCAGCCGACGATCTTGCGCGGGTTGCCCTCGCGGTCGATCTTGCAGAGACCGGCCCAGGTGCCGAGGACCTTAGCGTCACCGACCTTGATGAGCGGGATCTTGTGGGTGGCGCAAAGGGCCTCGATGAGCTTGATGTACTCGGCCTCAGTGCAGGTCTCGACGAGAACGCACAAGTGCGCCTGGCGCTTGTCCAGCGCCTTGGCGCACTCACGCAGCCCGCGCGCGAGACCGTCGTGGACGAGCGACGTCTTCAGAACTTGCTGCAGAAAATTCGTCAATATATTTCCATGGATGCGTCAAACATAACAATACCTGAAGAGCGTCCTCAACGGAGAGCTTTCCCTTCGGCGCCTCAGCGACCTCGGGCTCAGCCTCGACCTCGTCGACCTTGATCTCATCTCCAGCGTCAGACATCCTACACCCCACATATCAGCATACTGCACCTCATTCTAACATGTAGTACGATGGCACGCACTTTTGATATGTATAGATGGGTACAGGGGGATGTCTTCGTCCGCTCTCGTTGATGGTTTGAAAGGAAGAAAAAATCGAGCGCCGTCGACGACTTGTCGGTTTCGCGCGTCGGGTGCCGGTGATTGCCGAGGGAGCGTGGGAGGCCGAGTGTCGCGATCACGCAGCTTCGAGCCGAACGTCCACGTCGTGTTTCGCGTCTTGCTGCCTGCTGTGGGGTATATGGCGACTAATCCTAGTGCATCGGGGTCTACTGCGACTGCAGGGAATCACTCTGGCGGCTTTGATCTGCAGACGCTATCGCGTTCACCGTGAGTATGATGTGGCTGGAATGACGCGTGTAACTCAAGCCCCCTCTCCAGATTGCCTGCGTTTGGTTTGAGTGCCCTGTGTGCGTATCTACAGCAGATTTAAACGAGACGTATATTAACTAGTCTTTATGCTCATTAGTCATTGCATCTGCTTTTGCCCCTCCCAAGTTCAAAGCAAAGACATTCACGCCACCGTTCGTCTTCCGCTTGGGATTCGGCGCCATCTTCGCCGGTGGAGGGTACATGCTCGCTGCCGGAGACGCACACAATGGGAGTGGCGTCATGACTGGTTAGTGCTCTCGTGCCACTCACAGTCATGTATGTGGCTGACTGGCTTATAGCATGGAGCCTAAGCTACTTCGTCATTGAACAATTCTCGCTGGGCCTACAAGCATCATTACGTCGACCACGGAGCCCGATCGCACTCGCCTTGTCCACAGCAACAGGCGCATCAGCCGCACTATACGGCTCCGAATACTTCAGCCTCAATGAGGAAGAACCGGACTACTAGCTCCCCATCTCGCACATCTGTCCCCTTGTTTGTCGTTTGCTCTGCTTTGTCCTCCCATTGCTCTGTATCTCACATTACTATATATTCATATCTGATGTCCCTGTCATGCTGTTCCCGCCGCGCGCCACCACTTCACCATCCCGTCTTCGCTACCCGTCACGAATGCGCCCCCAGATGCAGCCCCCGACGCCGGTTGCCACGATACAGCCCACACCTCCGCGTTCTCCTGTATAGTGCTGACAGCAGCACGCGCGCCGAGATCCCAGACTTTTGCAGTCTTATCCGCCGAGCTGCAGAACAAAAGTCAGCACGACGTGGTATACACGCTTGTCGGATATACGCACCCGGATAGCGCAAGGCGCCCATCAGGAGAGATGTCAGCGTCCAACACCCAGGATGAATGTCCGACGAGAGACGCCACAGCTCCGCTCCCACCCCGACCAGACGCGGCGCCCCGCACATCGTGCATCATCAGGCGCTTGTCCTCCGAAGCGGAGATGAGTAGCTGGGAATCCGGAGACCACGCCAAGGAGCGAACGGCCATGGCGTGCGTCGTGTAGGTGTTCATGAGTGCGCCTGCCTCGACATCGAATAGCAGGATCTGTCCGTTTTCCGCTGCGAGTGCAATCTTCGAACCATCCGGACTCTACGACGGCGATGCCGATTCAGTCAATCGAAAGTTGAGCGTATTGAGTAGGGCATACATAGTTTACGCGTAAACCATACTTCGCACGTCCGCTCGCCAATGTACTGAGAGGTTGTCCAAATGTCTCGGGCCCGGCGCTATGAATGAAGACATCGCCTGATTTGCCCGTTGCGGCGTATGTGGAGCCACCTGGGTGTATGCTCACGGACCAAGCTATGTAGAGATTAGCGGGATCAAAGACGGCTAGTTATCAAGTACGAACCTGGTGTAGCACCATCCTTATAGCTCTGACTCTCACCCACAATTCTATCCGCCTCCATGTCCCACAACCTCACAGTCCCCTCGATGCTGTTGTACAACGCCTTCGATCCATCCGCGGATAAACTCAAGCTAACGAGTCCGAGCGTGTGCGGAGGTCGCGATGCCGATGCTTGGCCAGATGAGGGCGTCCATCGTTTGATCAGACCGTCGGCGGATATGGAGACGCAAGAGTCGGCGCCAGGTAAACCGGTCCATGAGACGGCCCAGACAGCATCCGAGTGCGCTTCAGGGTAAGATCAGGCGCGAAGTCCGGGTAGTTGGGAAGCTAGCGCGTACGTTCTGTACAGTCTTGTGCGTGCAGGTATGCTAAGCTCTGCGCCCGACGTCACTTCTCGATTCGCAAAGCTGACAGCAACACACAGACCATGGTCGTTCTATGCAAGACGCGTTGAGGCGCGCCCGCTGCGAATCGCCAGTCGCGACGCGCCGCGTCGATGATGTAGAGGAAAACGCGATCACATGGGTTATCAAAGTATTCAACAAAGCGATCTCCACGCAGAGCCAGAGCTCGCTAGAGCCGTACAGAAATGAGATGGGCACATTACGTATAGAGACTATCTACTATAGCACCTGTCTACAACAAGAGACGAGTCTCAGCTCTCGAAATGCCTATACAAGTGAAATGCACACAGCGACACGGTAATAATCTGCGTTTGGAGTGAGCATGTGTGAATATGTACCCAAAAAAGTTCAAAACGCACCATTGGTAAGCCTTCCACATTGTCCTTCAGAGTGTTCCCGGCCGCTATAATTCGACTCGTAGGGATCCCTGAGCTCGTCGTCTTCCGGTATACATTCGGGGTTCAAAATATCAAGCTCGGCGATCTTACGTTGATCCTTCCGATCAAGGCGACCATTCTGTGAGAGACAAGGGGTAAGCTCCCACGTCGTAAGATAGTGCTCGACGTTGTCATCCTCCAGCCATACATCGCTTTCGTGGTCTTCGTCCCAGTCATCTTCATCGTCCCAACTTGAGCGGTAACGTTCCGGAGGCGTATTTGTGGAAGCTCGACCAGAGATGCCCAGTATGATGTGACCCAAGTACGTTCGGAACCCGCATTGGTTCCCGAGTTGTTGCAGAAACCGTACAAACGCCGACTTATCCGCGTCTTCCTTGAAGGGTTCAAAGGGTCGATTGACGTAGCCACTTACCGCCCCACAGCTATCTGTCATCATAAGAACAAGCGTTCGCGGGACGGCATCAGAAGCCGCTGCCAACATCCTCCACTGGTTCATGGCTTGTGATATTTGAGCTTCCTGTCTGGACCGATCGGGTGTGTAAGCGATCCAGCGCGAAGGATGCCATTTATCGAAAGTGGGGGTCTCGTGCGTGTGGAGGCGGTAGATGAGTATGAGTTGGGATCCGGAAGTGATGGGTTTAAAATCAAAGCTAGCATCTGAGGACAAGGTTTTGAACTTTAGGAACGTTTTCATGCTGCAAAACGGAACGCAACGTACCAGCGGGCCACGCCATCAGTGTAGTGGTCAAGTCTCCACTGCGAACAAGCATCGTCTCACGTCGACCCTGCAAATCAGCCGTTACGGATGATCCGGAGGCCTGACAAGGCAGGAGCACAAGCATGTGAGCATAAGCTCCTGTACCGGTGTTGTCGATGAGTCTGTAGATCACCCATATCAATCATCCGAGAACAACGCGGGGTCGACGACGGATGACTTACGGAAAAGTTCCCTCATTACAAATGACCATCCGTTCAAACGTGCAAGCGGAGTTCCGGCCTGGAGCACCAAGTTCCCTCATAAACGTCGAGGCTTGGGTCGCAATCCATTCGTTCCATCCCGTGTTCGCGAAATGTACATTTGACGCGGGTACTTCCGAGTAGGAAGTTGATGACCGTGGAGTACGCATTGGATGAGACTTCCACCAGCTAGTGTACTGGGATCCCATAAACGCAGAGAGAGGCAGACCGAGGAAGGTGGTTCCATCAAGGACAATGTAGGGGTTCGGCGCAAGCACGTCCTGTTTCGTCACAAGACTTCTCCTTACGGCCTGTTCCAAAGGCAGTATCGAGTCATCTAAGGCATTCAACAAGCTTCTCTGTACACAGAGTGAGACTTTGCTGACATCCGAGATGTAGAAGAAAATAATACCTTGATGTCGTCAAAGCTGTTCATGCTTGCTTGGGTAGTAGTAGGGCAAAAGGAAAGTGGGAAGGGAGGAGTTAAGTAGATCTGTACAATTTAAGCTCCCTTTTATAGGATAGCACCCAAACCACAACATCCAGCCGCATGGACGATGGAACCACCGACCACAAAGACTCCGAGCGAAACCGCAGATCAATGGTAAACCTATGACATAGACATTACGGGACAAGAGACCCTTCGGCTGACCTTTTGTTCAGTCTCTTTCATGCTCAAGACGTGCTCGGTCGCGGTCCATGGGTATTGTTCCGCAATGAGCCATGGGTGTTCAGAGCAAGACGCGTCGACGTCGATGCGCCGTCAAGGTGGCGCGTGGCATCCGCCCACTGTGAAACGCGGTCACATGTCTTATCGGCTCATCTCTACAGTACCACAGAGTACCACTGGCATCACAAGCATAACGGAAGGGCTTGTCCGTGGACAATCCTACTACGTATCACACGCAGCTTATGATGGCCCCGGTACTTACGGCGCTTCCACGAGCTCCGTGAGCAGGCTGAGTTCACCGTTGATAACAATGTCGGGTATGGCGGAGGAGACCTGGCGCACGGCGATTAGGCCGACTCTGTGCACATCCAACCCAGTACTAGAGTATCGTGTCAAAAAGACATCTACCATACAGATTTGAGGGATTGGGAGATAGCGGCCGATCTGACCCATCCTGATGGCATCCGAAGGTTCTGCTGAATCTGGCCTAAGACTCCGAGCTTGCCCATACAGCCGGTATACTTGCCCCCTCCCCTCGGCTGTATGAGAAACGTATCTCAGATCAAAGATCCCGTTAGGATTAGGTTTGGTGAGCAAAGAGATCCTGCGCGTGTCCTTAGCCATAGATTAAAAAATTAGACTTCAAGCTTCAAAAAACCAAAATAGCAAAGCCTAGCGCTTAGCGCAGAGCACGCTGAGCACTCAGTCAATCAACGGAACGTGTAAGTGTGAGAAGTGTGGGCCAGGCCAACCCATGAAGGTCGTATCTGAGTTCTCCTGGGTCTCACAGTCCGCTCTCTAGTGCCTGGAAATGGCTTCTACCCCACTTGAAGCGTATCAAGTTGGGAACAGGCGCGATCTGTGAGAGGCAAATCAATCGACCTTCCCCTTCTCGCTGCCCAGGCATAGTTTCGGCCAATCAGGTGCCCGGGAAGATCCATGCGTTAGTTTTTGGCCGGGAGGAGTGCAACCAATGACCTCCAGAGGGGAAGATATGACCCAAGACAAGATCGCCAATGACCATGAGCCCGACAGCAGACCGAACAGTGCCCGAGGTCATGTCGTGACCAAGAAGATACAGCGAGATGAAGTTTCTCCAACCCTCGAACCCACCAGCCCGGCGTGACCGTAAGGTTCGGCATCAGGTCAGTCGGTCAAGCACGGTTGAGCATCCGGGCTCACGAGCCTTTGGCGCTCACGAGAAGGACACCGTGTCCCGCAGAAGTCGCGTCCCGGGTCGCGCGGTGGCCACAGCATGCAAAAGCTTACCTACTTGATACGTGTCCATATCGGACTCCTCGGAGCTGCGGCGTAGTGCTTACTTGTCCTCAAAGCGTACGCCAAGCCCTGTTACCCTGTCGACTGCGCCGGACAGCCTGCGTAAGATCTTCACGTCAACGGTCAATTGGACGGTATATGTACTGATGTTCACTCACCAGATGAGAGGTCCCACTGAGGTCCCTGCCGAGCAGAGGAAAATGTCGAAACATGGGTGCCACCGTTGGACAGCCATGTACGCGTGCCTCGGTTGCGGCAGGCGGCTTGCGCATGGAAGGGAAGGAAAGCAAACAGATAGCGTATCAAAGCTAGAAAAATACAACTCGGTACATCGATACATTCATGAGGAGACGCCGTTGCAAGTCGTAAGGGGGGTATATTCGGAACACCCAGCGCGTCGAATCAGATTGATAATGCGAATGTCTATAACCGCGTTCGCGACGGTTTCATTTTGATATGCGTGCCAGTGGCAACGAGTCGTTCGTCGTCTATGTCCCAGATCTGTCCGCGCCTCAGCATCGGGCTTGGGCTGAAACATGGTTAAATATACCTCAGTTCGAGCCGACATAATCCGACTCCCAACCGCAATGGACCAGTTGACCACCCTGATACGGTGTCCGACCGGCGCCGGAGCATGATACCTGTGCAATAATGAGCGCGAGCGGGCACTCGTAATATCGGATCGGACCCACACGACATTCAAGGACTGCGTGACGTTGCTGTAGGCCGAAGCGCCGGCCGTGGCGAGTGCAAGGGTCGAGCACCTTTGATCCCCGACAACGATCAGTCCGTAAATCACGTACACATATGGTGGTCAGAAGAGCGTACACGTCTACAAGATAAGCAGTACAACCGCCATGCATAATGCGCCCGGCATTGGCCATGTCTTCCGATGCCAAGTCAGTACCACCGAGCGGCGACTGGAGGGACATTTCTGGCACATTACCAGATGCAACGGGCAACTCGCATACCACTCTGGACTCCGTTCGGCTGGGCGCTTCGCTTTTGGATACCAGAGATACCTCCGTGATGGCCATGCGTCGTACGACTGATTGAGCGAACTCGTAGTCGTCTGCCCGTACGACTGTGAAGTACAGATTCATGACATCCTCTTTGACTTTGCGCGGCGCGTTGCCGGCGGGTAGCGGATGCGCCTCGAAGTCAAACCGCCGGGAGGCGTGTCGAAGTTCAGGAGTGGCGGTCATTGTGCCGATATGGTAGAGAAAGAGCGTGAAGAGACGGGGTATGTGGTCGGCGGCAGACGTGAACTGTACAAGGCTATTTAAGCCGATAACGGGGCAGGAACGAGGGCAAAGAGATGTCGGCAGAGGCAGAGTTGACGGTATTTAACCATCGGAAGCATGTTGATGCTGAGAAGAGTTCGAGGAAGAGATGTTCGCTGTTCGAACGAAAGGAGCATGGCCAGGGGTGCGAAACCGGTTTGGCGGCAGTCAATGCGCGTCCCGGAAGACGCGCGCGTTCTCACTCGCCCGCGACCACCACCACACCCACACCACCACACACGATGCTGATCAAAGTCAAGGTTCGTGCACGTCTCTTGTAGACTGGTAGGAAACGCGCGTCTGATCTTTCCGTAGACCCTTACAGGCAAGGAGGTGCGCTTATAAGTGCCACATACGGACACCTCCATCTGACAAACATCTTCCGCGCAGATCGAACTTGACATCGACCCCGATGACAAGGTTAATCCCCATCAGCATACGAGGGAAAGAGAAGGAACTTATTCCGAATACACAGATTACCCGTATCAAGGAGAAGGTCGAAGAACAGTCGGGTGTGCCACCGCCTCAGCAGCGTCTCATCTTTGGTGGTCGCCAGATGTACGCGGATCGATCTATCCGTTAACTTGACAGCGCTAACATCCCGACAGGAATGATGATAAGACGGCGAAGGAACTCAACGTGTCCGCAGGCGCCGTGCTTCATCTGGTCCTGGCGCTTCGTGGTGGTCGATGATCGTCTGTATCCTTTGAAGTCTACTTCATTTCCTCATTCAATCTTGCTCACGCTCTTACCCCGCTATCATGATACGAGAAGTCTATTGTCCACACCTTTCAGCGACTACAAGCGCGCAATGTACTACTAGATCGCGCCTCGTTCCCAATCCACGCACTGCCCTCTGACCTTCTGTGCGTCTTCCCTTGATCCATGCCGTTGTGACGTAGATCTCTACGGGCCGCCCACAATGTCCGCACCCGGGAGGAGCCATCTGAAGGTGACACTAACTCGAGTTGTGCGTTCCACCCGTTCGGGGTCCGTATCTGCGTCTTTGGAAGCAACGTAGTCGGCGGTTCGGGCAGGAATACCATGTGTCCATGTGTAGCGTGCATCGCCGGTGAGCACGATAACGCTCCGAGGTGGCAGGAAGACCTCATGTGTCGTGGCGTTGTCGGCCGTCGCAGGCGCTGGAGTGAACGCCATCGCACATGGACTCCCGAAGCTCACGCCGACAATCCCATCTCCATAACGGGACAGCAAATCAACGTGCGGCGTGATCCCTTCTCCTGCTAAATAATGATTCACTATTGCCTGTCGCGCTCTCCCGACCCCGTCTCCCTCCCAATCAGCAGCGAAGAGGAGCCGATGGGTGCCCGCAGGCAGAATTGGGCGTAGCACGTCCTCCAAAGTTCGCAAGAGCTGCTGCAGGAAAGATGGCAGAGCTCCATCAGCGGATTCGGGTCGAGAGAACAACATGACTTGATTGGCTCCGGGAACATTGAAAAATGTAGACATGCACGACATCTGGACCAGTGTGGATAACCCTTCCGGTATCAGCACAGATGGGTCGTAGAAAAGCCCAGGGATCGGTGGGCATTTCATCATCGCGACCGAGTGCGGCGGAACCTCGTCGAACAGAGAATTCGGCGTGCTGACGGCTGAAGAAGGACTGTCTTCGTCAGCTTTACTGCCTGGCCGTGTATCGATCGCGAGTGCTGCCGGCATGAGAGTGTGCCTCAAGGTTGAAGTGAATCACGGCGGTTATATGTACTGGAGCAGTGAGAACAACATCTCTGTCTGGAAGAAGCCCACGACTGGCAGCTCTGACCTCGGCGATAACCACGCTCAATTAACCGCTCTCACAGCCACACCCATCGCGATGACGAGGCAGAGGTCCTTCGAGTGCTCAAGTCAGGGGGACGTCGCCCTCTACCAGTAGGTGATATGTATAGCTAGTTGTTTTACATACACGGGGGTTTCACGGGGATGAACGAGGGCGTATAATCCTGGCTACGCGACTATACTTACACGTAACGACTTGCGGAATCGAGAGCATCAGCACGGTGCAGGCCACGCGTCGCAAAGCCCGTCGGCGCGCGCTTCACGGAGGTTGCCTTCCGCCACCATTTGCAATCGTCTTGCCCGAGCGGATGCGCTTGATATGTCCAGTACGGCTGTATACCCTGGCTCGCATATGAACTGTCCTCGACTACGTCCGCGATGACGACGCGCGAGGTGGAAAGACGGTGATTTGGGCGTTGACGTGGCCAACACGAGTCCTTCAGACCGCTTATGACCGTCGAGCGCCCAGCAAAAGTTCCACGACAACCATCGCAGTCGCGTCATATTCAATTGTGTCAGGGCGCTGAAGACGGATCGTTTACGCACTCTCGATTTCAGAGTCCGCCATCTTTGATGGTATCCTTTAATGTATGCCAATTTTTTGCGGCGGACCCGCTTGGCTTTCTTGTCAAGTGGTCGAAAGACGACTCGAAGCTCAGCGCTCAAAGTCCTGCTTACTTGATGTCTTGTCGTCAGCGGCGTAGGGCTTCCGGATCTGCAGTGCTTCTGCATGCATTCGTGAGACAAGACGAGCACCGGCAAGGGCCCAGGTTCGTGCACGCCTTTGCCTTGAGGTGCCGCTCATAATCGTGTGTACTCAGGTACGACCACAGCAAGGATACTTATATCGGTAGGAAGCTTATCGGACGGCACAGCTAATCTGCGAAGTCTAATTTCTCAGCGCGGATGGGCCGGCGGCAGGATACGCGCATTGTCTGCCGGTCCAGGTTCAAGTTTTCGGAGGATGATACCGCGGAAATGCCCGATTGGGATATAGTGGCGGCCTGTGGACGATTCCATCGCTCACGTTTTGATATGCCGCCCATGCTGGGAACGTCATACCAGCGTGCCTATACAAGTCAGGTTCCAGTCAGGAATGGAACACCGTCATTATACGGTATGGGGAATTTCTTTCACAGTGTGGAGGAATACAGTGTGGAGGAGCAGGGTACATGTTATTCTTCGCGAAGTTGCGTCGCATGTGGATGACCAGTGTTCCATCGTCTTGCAGCCCATTTCATATTGCCGTGGAACATCGAACGGTTGCTGCTCGCCAGGCATGCCGCGGAGGACCCGAAGGTCCGGTCTAGCCGTTGCTGCCTCTCGGGATCAATTTCGCGTTATGAGCCTGGAGCTCAGTTTATAAGAGGATGGGTGGGCGGTCCTGCTACCCCGCATCGACACTTGGCTGTCGCAAGCTTGTACGATGCTTTCTCTTGGGCTGCCCTTCCTTCTGCCTATTGCTGCAGTCTATGCGTCGCCTACCGCTCGAAACGTCAAGGATGTCTGCTCCCAGATAGCCAGCGCCGTGTCAAGCGCCTCGGACGTCTATCAACCGCGTCAGTCATACATTTCATGTTGTCCCGTGCCCTGGACTGAGGCCTTCCCAGTATCTATCCAGTACGAAAGCGACATTGCGCACTGGGCTTTCTCTAGCACCCAGAGGGCAACGTGCTCTGTTCAACCCGGCACCGCTGAGGACGTCGGCAAAATTGTGCGTGATTACATCGCATCACTATTTCATGATGGCTAAACATTGCGCATACGCAGCTCCAAATTGTCGGCTCGACGAACACATCGTTTGCCGTGGGTTTCAATTTGCCGAGGGGACGCGTAACATCTACTGATACGGCATTGTTCTTTAGGTCAAGGGCGGAGGCCATGCCTCGAACCCTGGATTCTCGTCGACTACAGGCGTGCATATCTCGATGGCCCGTTGGAGCAACGTCACCCTCAGCGACGACAAGAGCACAGTGGAGGTGGGCGCTGGTCTCATATGGGACGACGTCTACTCCGCATTGGAAGATACCGGGGTGAATGTCGTCGGCGGTCGTGTACCGGGCGTGTAAGTGAACCTAACACCTAGTTCCCTAATCTTCACTCACACAGCTCCTAAGCGGTGTGGCGGGGTTCACACTAGGCGGTGGATACTCGTGGAAGACTAGCCAGTACGGTCTGACCATCGACAACATTGCCGCATACGAGCTCGTGCTTCCGAACGGTACCGTTACAACGGTTACTGAGAAGGATGAAGATCTTTGGTTCGCGTTGCGCGGTGGCGGAAATAACTTTGTGCGTTGCTTCTAGCTGATCTTCACCTCATGTAGTCATGGCTAACCGTTTGATCTTAGGGCATTGTAACCAAGTTTACGCTCGTGACCCACCCTCAGTCTGATATGGTCTGGGTATGTCACATGTTTACCGATACTACAACGTCTACTCAACTCCACCACAGGGTGGACTGCTTACCTTCACCGAGAACGCTATGGAGGCGATTAGTGCCGCCACTGCGAACTTCTCGGCAACCAATACCGACACGAAGGCTGCCATTCTGCCCGCTTACAATCATGTTCTCGGTGCTGTGAGTCTCTCTGATATTCACGGTGCCTTCTAGACATGCAGAAGCGGCGCGGCTGACATTGTTCTCAGCCTGGTATCTCGTTAATCCTCTTCTACGACGCCCCTGAACCCCCTTCTGGCCTCTTTGATGCGTTCCTTTCCGCTTCACACTTCACATCGGATGTCAAGGCGAGGAAGTTCGCCGACCTCATCCAGTCGGTTCCAGCCACTAACCCTCTCGAGGGTCCTCGGTGCGTCTACAACATCACCCGCGGCATTGCAATCTCACAGACTCATGAGTAGTGCTGCCTTCATGACCTCCTCTGTTTTGGCATATACGCCAGCAATACTTGACATGATCGTCAACATGACGAAGGTACGTGTTGCATGACCTTTTTCTTGTTCGATCCTCATCGCCATTCAGGTCGTTGGTCTCGAGCTCGCTTCTCTTGACACGGCACCCTTCATCTCGTTTGACATCGAGCCCTTCGACTCCAACCTCCTCTCTCACGGCGCTCCTTCTGCCTACCCGCCGGATCGCTCTCGTGGCCTGTTACCAACGAACCTATACTTCTCCTGGGAGCTTCCGAGCCTTGACGCAAAGATCCAGGGCATCATGAAGGATCTCTCCAGCCAAATCACTGCGCAGGCGGTGGCCGAAGGCCAGGACGTCGCCGACGCGTTCATCTACAACAACTACGCTTTGGCAGACACCCCGCTCGAGGCGATCTTTGGCGATAATGTCGCGCGGTTGCGGTCTATTCATAACGCTGTGGACCCCAGCAACGTGATGGGTTTGGCAGGAGGATTCAAGTTCTAAGCTTCTAGTCTATTGGGTTTTTGCCATCGGGCTCGGACATTCGATAGTCTCATTGACAGCATACACATTCCTTAGTTTGCGTAGTAGTACTCTCACTAATATACATACTCTCCTTCGCTCCGTTCAAAAGTCGAGGAGACCCTGCATTGGGAAAGGATGCGGACCCGGGAGGTTCAACCCGTTGAGTATAGCGCCAGGGTTGTGCAAGTAGGGACCACCGCCGGGGGAAGCCCCTTTCCGTATCTTGAAGGTAACCTTGACGCTCTCGACGTATTCTTCCAAGCGCACGATCATTCTCTCGCTCGCGTCCTCGGACTTCTCATTCGTATGCCACACGGGCACGACCAGGCGCTGCAGACGTGCACCACGCGTGCTACGCAAGGCGAGCCCTTCTGCCAGTTGCGCCCACGGTGACAAGGCTGAATGTTCAAGCTCGTCGCCGAACTCTCGCCGAATCAAGGCTTCCTCTTCTTCGTCATCCGTAGTGTAACTGACCTCGAGCAACCAGAGCGTGTGAAGGTTTGGAAAGAGCAACGGGCGTGTATGATCGGGTGTACTCGGGGAGAAGACGACGTTCCAAACGCCGAGTACCTGCGCGAGATCTGGGAAGGAGTCCAGAACTAGGGTGCGAACGGTTGATAGAGATTGCAACGTTTCTATCACGCGCGACTCCTCATATGAATGTGAGTTCACGAACTCGAATACATCGATCGCGTCGAGGGAGTAGTCGGTGATGACGCGGCGTAGCATGTTGAAGATATCTACGTGAACGTAGGTCGAGATCGGCGAAGTAAGGCTCATGGCGAGCATGAACTCCGTGTCGTGCGCAAAGGGACCGGTCTGGTCCTGGAAGAATGCGCCGGGGACACGCGTCGCAAGCACAAAGTGTGCGCCGTCTCCATCCTGAACGTCGTCATAGGCACCGAGACCGTATATTGGACGTGTCGTGGCAGCGGCACGGACGTGAGGCGCGAGGGCAGTGATGAACCTGAAGAAGCTTGTCTCGTGGCTCGTAAGATCTTCCGGGCCTGGGGAGTCGGTAGCGCGCCCCCATGTAGCGCTTAGTCGAAGCTCGATGTTGGTCGATGTCGGTATGCGGATGTGACTCCAGAGAGCTCTCGCACGGTCAATCGTGTCGGCGATCCTGACTTCTCGGAGATGCATCAAGTGTATTGCGGCAGATGGCTCGTTCGTGGTTAACGTGATATCCGGCAAGCATGATTCGAGAGATAGCCGGCGAAGGTTCAGACAACCGCTGAGCATTTCCCAGAATTGCGCGGGTGGCGGGAGCTCGTCATCCGAAGGATGAAAGAGATAGACGAGCTCGAGAGATGTCAAGTTTGTAGGATTGAAGGGTATAAAATAATCCTGAAGGGCCAATCGACGTAGTCGGGGTGCGTCTATCGGAGGAAGGGTATAGATATCTGGTTTCATGTGTGTCTGCGACGGGCCCACGCGTTCGAACATCTTCAGTGTGAGCTCTTCTAGAAGCGGGAAAGACATGTCTTTCAGGTCCTTGGGTGAAAAGTGCCAGAAATAGGATGATAGCTGTGGGACGGCGTCGCCTATGGTGATGACTCGTGCGTCCTTGAAGCGTTTTTGTGCCGTATCTTTGTGATGCAAAGGGGTGTGATAGCCATCGTTAAGGCTGATGACCAAAGGTACGTCTTTGGCGCGCCGGAGAATCTCCTTCTCCGCCCTTTGGTTCGGGAGTGTGAAGGCAATTGCTGCCCAAAGCGCCCGGAGAGATAAGAGGTGTTCTCTCAGGTGCCGACAGATGTGCCCAAGGGTGACCCAGCCTAAATGCCCTGCTTCCCCCTTCCTTGAATCAGCACCTCGAGGCCCGTGGCTGTCCAATGCGCGGGCGTGAGGAGGGTCGGCGCGGCTAGCCAATGTCAATATTTCGCCCAGTATCTCCGGAGGTAGCCTCAACAAGCCGCTGCATTCGTTCCGGCGTGACTTCAAACCCCTCGAGAGATTGTCCAGTAGCAATGTCTCGCGGTCAAGCTGCGTGGCCAGGTATGACGTCGTTGAACTCGAGCTTGCAAGGAGCACCTGGTCCACTTCATGCAGACGCTTCGGACCCACGTCTAAGAGGAAATCAATGCTAGACACATACACAATCAGACACTGACAGCCAGTAAGGCAGCGCAGACTCACAGGGCCGTCGAGCTGTCCGGCATGCTGGTGGGCGGTGGTGGGCGGAGGCTAGCGTGTTTATGCGATCATGGCAATGACGAACATGTCTTCACACGTTTACGCAGCCTAGATGCAGACATGATTAGTGTTCAAGGAGTTTCTGATGCGGGCGTACTGGACCACTTGCCATGCATCTACCTACGTGCCTTTGCTCGTCCCAATGCTCCTCATCGAGGGGTTTGGACGTGAGCAGACGACGGCTTCAAGCGTACTACGCCCGACTAGAGACCCTGAGCAACTCATGTGATCGTAACACGGGCACGCGGTAACGCGCCGCCTTTCAGCTTGCTTTCAGCCAGCTTCGTCGTGGTCTCCTCGTTGAGCGGGGCACCGTGGCGTTATAAGAGATCGAGCTGCGGCTGGCGCCCCTCATATCGCGATGTTTGGCTTCTTCTCCAAGAAACCCTCTGAGACCGGACTTACTCAGTCGCCGGACGCTCCCAAGCCCTCCGGCTCTACAGAACCCATCCAGCAACTACGCACACCGTCACCCTCTGTAGCCCCTTCTAACGATCTTCATGTACCGCCATCAACATCAGGGAGGCCATCTGAAGAGCCGGAACCAAGTTTGCCATCCAGGCCTGAGCCGACTACTGAATCACTGCATGCGCTCGTATCATCTGTCCCCCCGAAGACTCTGCACGCCTATACTATGACAGAGATAGGGAAGGCGGACGAATCTATGCTGAACGCACTGGCGGCTTTCTTTGCTACACTCTCGCCGCCTCCACGCTTGCACTGTGTGCGCTGTCATGCGGATTATATGGACGTGGAGAATACGGAACGCTCGTGTCACGTAGCGCACGATGATGATACGGCCGAAGTTGAGCGCGGTGGCCCTTCAGGATATCAGACACTCTGGGGATGCTGCGAGAAGATCACGCCTGGCGATGGAAGTGAGGGTCCGCCTGACGGCTGGTGTTATGAAGGGTTTCATACTGTGCGCGACTTCCGTATTTGGCAGTGTCGCAGATCGCTGACTATCTCTCCTTATAGACGGACATCAAACGCGCGCGCTTCCGCGCCGATTCAACGCCCACGGATGACAAACTCAAGTCTTGTCTTCGTCTGAATTGTCACGGCGTACGCGACGCGCTACCACGACGTGCCAAGCGGAGACGCGAGCAGGAGCCAGATCCCGCGGAAGTTGCTGATGATGCGGCGAGCAGTGGCACTGAGGACAGTGGCGTAGCCGAGATCGCACGTGGGGTCGGTGCCCTGGGCAAGAAACCCAGTACGCCGCGAAAGGCTCCGAAGAGTAGGGGCCGGCCAAAGCAGGAAGCAGGAGAGAATGGCATGGACGTGGATGACACCAGCAGCGTTGCAGCGAGCGCTTCTGCAAGCGCTAAGAAGGCCCGAGCACCGCGATCGCGGAAGGCGCCAGGGAAGGAGGGTACCGAAGTTATGGACGTTGATGCATCCACCAGCGGCAGTCCCAAGGCGCCTGCGAGCGTCAAACGACCTCGAGGACGGCCGCGGAAGGAATCTACGAAGGATGGGGCAGAAACAGGCGCCGAAAGCGATGCCGCGCCTGTGCGTCGTGGACGGAAGCCCAAACAGCAATCTTCGGCCCGCGCGCATACGCCTTCACAGGTTGAGGTCGTTCTACCACAACGGACGCGAAGCCAGAGTCGCAATGCGCGAGCTGTCTCGCGGGCGCGCACTGGTGCGGAGACAGATAACGAGGGGGCTCGTACCGACGGGGAAGGGCGCCAAAGGAAGAAACGTAGGGTCGCGGCGCCTGCTTCAGATGACTGATCGAGGTTGTATCCCCATTACTGTTTGTTTGACGCGTCCAGTCTTCCTGGCATCTCTGCCTTTCCGTATCTTGGCCGTATGCTGTCTTGCCTTCTTGATCATAATTAATACCAAATGATAATCAGCTTATGATCTAATTTCATGTGATAAGTTGATTGATAATAGTATATGCCTCAAGGCGGCCGTCCGACCCCGAACACATTCTTGTCTTCAAGCTACCACGCTCGAGTCGTCACGATGGAACCGATACAAGCAGATAGGAATCATGCGTATGTCTGGTCTACGTCCATCATGGCAGCGACGCCAGCTGTGCTGAGAGAAATTCCCGCCAGGATTATCTGGCCGTGGATAGGCGACGGACTTCAGCATCTGAAGCAACTAGATAGTGGACCTTGTGGGTTCAGGGTTAACGAACTGGCTGAAACACTGCGGCGACGGGTAGTAGCAGGTGTAGCCTTGCGTTCAGTCAAGCTACTAAACGTAGTAGCCACACCTTCATTGATGATCAGTAGACCTCCACTAGACATTCCTAGGGAGGTGGAGAGAGCACTCGAAGCACTGATCTGGTCAGGACCTGACGTTAAGTGCAGAATGAGCTCGCTGCAGCCGTAAAAGAGTAGCATCATTATGGGTCGCTTGGCCTGAACAATGACCGTATAAATGCAGTACACTATACATTACTTGGTTCAATTTCACCAAGGAGCATCGTACCATCCTTGCTTCCCGTGAGAACTAGACGCCGTTAGTTAAGGTGGGCGGATACCAAAGGAAATAAGTGCCGCACTTATAGGCTCTTGCTGGTGGAAGTCGACGGATGTAACCGTGCCCTTGTGACCGGGAAGCTTGTACGAGATTTTGCCGCTTTCAACGTCCCAAATAGTGACCGTACGGTCCGCGCCGCCCAATGCGACACGGCGGCCACCATCCTCTCGCGACCAAGCGCCTCGCAATAGTGTCTGTTCGAACCCTGCGGGCGCACCACCAAGCACACGATGCATACGGTTAGGTGCTGCAGAAAAGGGTCGAATGTCGTGAATGATCGCCTGTGAAGCGAAGGACGAAGAGAGGAGGAAATCTCCGTTGGGCGACAAAGCAAGCGAGCACACTGTATCTGTGTGCCCAGTCAAGACGCCGACACGTTCCTTTTTGCGCAAGTCGAAGGCCTATATGAAGTTGAGGAGAGCTTCGCGACAATAATCAGCATAAGGCAACGTACGTGAATGTCGTTGTCCAATGCACCGGCGTAGACAGTGGCACCGTCGGCACTCCAGGCCACGCTCGTCACGGGGCATCCAACCTCGAGAACTGCGATAGGCTCTTTGCTCCCCTCATCCCCTCCTTCCCAGATGCGTACTGTGCTATCATCGGATGCAGTTGCCACCAGTTCAACACCAGCACCACTCGCAAGGGTTGTGTCGACTGCGTTGATAATCTCTCGGTGAGCGCGAAGGCGACGAACTCGCTCGCCGGTCGTCAAGTCTGTGTACGCGAGTGTATGGTCCGCGGAAACGGTATAAAGCAGTGGCGAGGATAATGACCAGCGCAGATCCAGTACTGGGGCTTTGTGCACCGTTGTAAGCAGGCCATAGTTTGTGTTCGGCGGGTATGTCCTCCATAGAGCTTTAGTGATTCTAGTCAGTACACGTAATGAGCTACATCCACTGAAACTACGCACAAATCCCGCGGTCAGCGGAACATGCAGCAATATTTTGGCCGGTAGGATCGAATCTGCAGCTGAGAATCTCGCCCTAGGCCATGCATAAGTACAATTACAAACATACGTAAGTCAGATGAACATACAGCATGCGCACCAGCCAAGCTGACGATAGGCGCCTCAAGGGCACTCGTGCGCTTAACGGAGCGGACGAGCGCTTGTTGCCTCGGGTCATTTGAAGTCGAGATGGCGACTTGCTGCATATTTTCGGGTTCAGACGACCGAGCACGCTTCATGAGAGCGCCCTCATTGTCGGAGGCAGGACGTTTTGACATATTGGGAGATCAAAGTGGTGGACGTCGAGGTGCAAGCCGTGGGCGCGTCAACGCGTCAAGATCCCAAGTCACGCTTGAATGATGCCGAGAACGCCGAAGCATGAGATTCCCGAAAATATATGTACAGCAAATGGTAATCCGCCTATGCATGCGTGCCTATATATCAGTTCAAGTACTCGTCGTCGCCTTCGTCACCCTCCTCCGGGCCATTCATATCATCCGTCCAGAAGCTCGGTATCTGGTGGACGAGCCCCTCCATGTACCAATAAGACGGAACCTTGCCCTTGCCCTTCTTTCCCGCTGCCCCTTCATCCCGTTTGATTTGCGTCCAGGTGGCCCCTAGCCCCATACCTATGGCATTCTCGAGTAAGGCCACGGCTGTAGGGTCAAGCAGGATGGTGATGTCGTCACGATGAAGAGCATGTCCTTCGATCCCAGGAGATGGTGCGTCTTCGAGGTCGACTTTGCCATGACTAGACGGCAGAATCCTAGGAGGCTCAATCTGCGAGGAAGAGCTGAGGTGTTTGGTCGGCCATGGCTCAAGGACAACGCGCGCGAAACGAGTTGCCAAATCTTCTTCGACGGCCTCAGCTGAAGGATCGCTTGCCTTCTTGCATGGGCGACGAGTTGCCGGGCGCAAAACCTCTTTGATCCTTCGGGTGGAGCATTCGACCACCCCGGTGCGATGCGTGAGCGGTATAGCAGTCGGACCAAGAGTAGAGATGAGAGCAGGAAGGGCAATGGCCCACGGGTCTACTTCGTCATCCTCATTGGAGTCCGAGTCGTCTCCACCCCATGTACCACGCTCTGCGTCTGGAGAAGGCCATGCACCACTCTCCCCTCCAGACTGTGGTCCCTCATCTCCTGACCCGTCCATAACTTCCACGTCCGTCTCTGCGCCCTCTCCGTTTCCCTCTGCGTCTGGAGTAGACGAAGCGAGTTGTTCTTGTAGCTCGGACGCTCGTTCGAGAGCAATGCGCGCTTCTTTCTCCTTCTCAAGCGCCTCCTTCATCTTCTGGCGAGCCTCTTCCTCCTTCCGAGCGGCGATTCGCTCGGCAATCTCCGCCAGCTCCATCTCAACCGCCTTTCGCGTCTCCTCATGTATGAGTTCTTGCGCGGCGATGTCCTGAGCTATGACAGCGTCCTGCTCTTGAGGCTCACGAGAGTAGGATCGCCGAGGCCCCCACAGAGTTCCAAACGCGCGGCTTGAGTCGTTGGGGAGCGTACGAGCTATATCGCCTGTCTTCGGTAACTCAGCCTCGGCGCACTTGGCGATTTCTACGGCGCGACGAAGCGACGAGTCGATATCCTTCTCCGAGAACGCCTTGCAGCGGATCAGGTATTGGCAAAAGAACCGCACGAGGATCGGGAATGCCTGGCAACGCTGCCTCGACCTATGCGCGCCTCAATATATGATATCAAGAGAGGTCTTATGCATGGCAAACGGACCATAACAAGCCCTTCCTACTGAAGTGCGAAGAGAGGAAGATCTTGACGCTAGTTTCGGGATCATCTAGGAAGCGTTCGGTTTTCGGGTCGTCTGGATCGAATGGCTGACGCAATTTGGCTCTCTTCTTCACTCCGACGCTGACGTTGATGTCCAATTTACGCGCTTTCAGAGGCTGTGTGTCCGAAACAGGTTCGCTGGCGTCGTCTACGTCGGGATTCTCAGTGCCGTCCTTTTGGTTGGGGTTCTTGGGATGAGCGAGGAGACCGATATACATGCGGAACTGAATGAGATATGAGCTCGGAGAGCGCTACCACAATGCTGGCAGACTTACCTGATCCCAGTAATTGGCGATGCCCTGGTCCGCAGGTGGCCAAGGACGATCTTCCCGGAAATCTTCAGCAGCCATAGATAACCTTTCCGCCGGTGGTAGACGCCTACGAACTGTCAACAACTAAGAAGGTCAAGAAAAGGGGAATGGGTACTTACTGGTTGTAGTTCTTCTTACGTACAGACTCTGTCTCGTCCCAGACCTCCCACCAAGTACTTCGAACGGAAGGGTCCCTAATCGCAGTCCTGCGCTTCTTGCGGCTCACAAGACTATGATGATCTAACTTGTGCGCAGGAAGGGCTATAGTAGCGACGCCCAGCGCGTCAAACTCTTCGTAAGATTCATCAGGCTCAATCATGTCGCCGATCTCATCGACGGGAACGTTGATGCCAGAAGCGACGAAAGCGTCGAACGAGACTACATTGACACTTTCGGGAGGCGTTGGGATGGGAGGGAAGCGTTGACCCGAAGCTAGCGGTTGATATATGATATGCTCAGGAAAGGTTGTCATGGTGGACGAACGATGGGAGTGTAGTCGGGGTGGGAGGTCTTATATAGTTTTCGAGGGCGTTCAAGCTTCAAGCAGCGTGACTGCACCGCGACGGCCTTGTGATGTAGGGTGTCTGCAATCTGCCCTGATTGGCACTCGCCACGCACAAAGAAGACTAATCGAAGGTGCACAGATAGGGCCGAGCCGCAAGCGCTGGAAGGTGGTGCGCGAGATCAAAGCGGGAGGCAACCTTCATCATGGGCACGCGATTGCAGCCGCCGCCGCGACGCACGGACTTCTCTTCGTACCACCATCACCACCCTCTCCTACATCACGGTGTCATGGATGAAGGGTCCGTACACATCATCTGTGAGGATACAAGCATATTCATGGGTGATTCTTGAAGGGCAAACTCTGCACTCATCGTCGAGACTCTGGTGTCCATCATCTCCCGGTCTGTCATCCGGTCCGAGGACGGGACGACGCGAGTTGTGGCGGTCAAGTCATCCTCGGTGAAGCCACGATTCACCAAGGAGCCGCACGACATCGCCAAGGAACTTCGTCTGCTTTCCATGATCTCGCATCCTTGTGTTGGTCCAGCTTCTACACTTCCGTCAACGCGGACTTAGCCGGCTGCCAGATCATTGAGGTATTGGGACACCAGCTCGACAAGACGACCTCAGCTCTGGCGTTCTGGATGCCTTATATTTCACTCACCCTTGCCACGCTTCTACGCAACCCTCTCTTCTCTCCGCGCCCGCATCAGTCGTTAGGAGAGGCAGCTCGTACAGCTGCTGCCGCAGCTTTCCAGCATGTGGCCCGTTCCCTAGTGTTTCAGCTGCTATCCGCGATTGCATATCTGCACGAGCCGTCTCGAAAGACTGCACATCGTGATCTAAAGCCAACCAACGTGCTCATAGACGCAACTGGAAATCTGAAGCTCATCGACTTTGGTATCGCGTATCGTGAGCTTGAGGATGAAAGTCAGAGGGCACGTGACGTATGGCCTGAGTCGAAGACGCAGATGTACTTCGAGGTCGGCAGTGGGTAAGCGACCTGCCAGCGCCCATCTGTTCCTATGGATACTCATGTCGGTCCTAGACCATACAGAGCGCCAGAACTATTATTCGGACCCCGGCAATATGACGCGATCGCGACCGATCTCTGGAGCGTCGGCGCTGTCATTGCCGAGTTCTTCACTACTCTGCATCGCCGCAGTGAGAGCGAGGACGACTTCGATGACGTCGACGAGGACGAGCTAGAAGATGACCCCACGAAGGCTTACATCCTGGACCCGCCGAGGCCATATAGCCAACCGGAATGGGAGCGATACACTCTCTTCAACGGATCCAGAGGCGATATCGGTCTCGCGTGGAGTATCTTCAAGACGCGAGGGACGCCGACAAAAGAGACTTGGCCGGTACGCCGATCTCATCGGAACACTTCGCACAAGCAGCTGACAATATAATCAGACATTCACAGAACTGCCGGACGCTACCAAGGTCAACTTCATCGAGGCGCCGGTCATTGATCTGAAGACACTGTTACCCCATGCACCCGAAGACTTGCCTGTAGCGCAAGAGAGTGCAGTCTCGCACTTCCCAGGCGCACAGCCCGCAGCACAGGCGTCCGATCTTGTACATCGATTCCTCGTCTATCCTCAAGCACAGCGTCTGTCCGCAGAGAAGGCGCTGAAGCATCCGTGGCTTGTTGCTTCACCCTTGCTGCTGCCTCCCGGCTTACATGACATGTCCGGTGTCAACACAGCACACGAGGTCGACGGGATGAAGCTGGCAGGCCACTTGCAGGTGTTTCTGGGCACAAGGATATGAGCACAGCTGTTGTTCTCAGTTCCGGTAGCGGGAGGCTAGGAACATATCCATCGACACCGTCGGGACACACGGATCACGCATTGCGACCATTATCTTTGTATCATACGTATAACAATGAGCCAGACATGCGCCTACATGGGCATCTGAGGCGGCCGTACATGCACAAACCAGTTCACCTCTTGTACCCCTTGTCTAGATATTGACGGAGCCATTCGGATAAGCTTGTTGAACCCGGTTTACTGCCGCGGGTCTCGGACCCATGGCAACAGGCTCGCCGACGGAGTTAATCGGCGGTCACGATGGGGCCGGTTCCGCCGCGCAACAATGACGGAAGCATCGTTGTCTTTGTTCTCCACCAAAGCCCATGCCTGAATCTAACTTTGCACTTCGCCTTCTCTGTTAATGGGGATACGCAGATGTACTGTCGAAGGGGGAAGTGGGGATCTATGTACTCCTTTACATGCTCGTACTTGGCTGTGGAGTACGTCCAGTTGGCTCTGAAGCACGTTACGTCGGGTGTTCAAGCGGCGCGCAAGGTGCCGTATATGCGCACCCCCAATTGTTGATTTTAGCATCGCGCTATTCGGCTGCCCTCGTCACGGTTCGATCGGCGATGCATTTGATGCGGAAGAAAGGGCTCCACAGGTCATATAAGTATTCGTTGCTGCGTTTGCCCAGTCCTCCGTTCGTCGCCCATCGCATCGCTCGTTCGGCACACACAGTCCTTCCTTCCACCTACTCTCCTTCCTTTACTACACCGGCCCACGATCATGTTCGCCACCGCCATTCTCTCTCAGGTCCTGCTCGCGGCTACCGCACTGGCCGTTCCTACCTCATCGGAGCGCTACTCTCGCCGCATCGAGCGCCGCGCCTCGGGCTGGCATTTCTCCAAGCCTTCCCTTAGGCACGAACTTCTGCCGCTCTCGGAGGGCGAGACCAAGGGCCCTACGGACCAGGCCAACGTGCAGTACAGCGGCAATTGGGCAGGTAAGCCTTGAATCTTCTATCTATATCGCCTCCTCATCCTACTGACGGGCTGCGGCGCAGGCGCTGTTCTCCTTGCGGACAATGCGAGTCTACCCAGCATACTGTGCGCAGTGTACACGAGGTGGCTAACCAGATTGTTGTCTGTTTATAGGCCACATACACCGCTGTGACAGCATCGTTCACCGTTCCGAAGCCGTCCGGCTCATCTGGTGCTTCTGCGTCGGCATGGGTCGGGATTGATGGTGATACCTGCTCCCAGGCGATCTTGCAGACCGGCGTTGATTTCACCGTCGGCAAAGACGGCAAGGAGTCTTATGATGGTGAGCCGAGCATTGAACCGCATCATGAATCCTGCTGATCCCGCATCGCAACGTAGCTTGGTATGAATGGTACCCCGACTACGCCTACGACTTCTCCGACATC